ACCCAGGAGAGCAGGAAGCCAGGCGCCTCGTGAGCCGGGCCCCTGTGCCCTGCAGGGCAGCAATCCTCCCGCTCACCCTGGGCAGGATCTGCTCATCCCCAGGCTGGAAGACAGGCCCAGAGCAGAACGTTCCAGATGTCTGCTGAAAAATGCTGGGAGGTGGGATGAGAACGAAGTTCTCACGGCGCAGGCAAACCGCGGCGGGATTTAAGACAGATGGAAGATGAGGTTACTCGTTCCGTTGTCCGTGCTTGTGTAAACCTGGCATAATGCCAGTTTCGCATCCTTTCCTTCGTGCTCCGATTTCTCTGCTCGCCAGGGCAGCGGTGTGCCCTCTTTTGTTCCTTCACATCTGGGACCCACGAAAGAAGAGTCTCCCTCTGTGGGCGGACACAAGAATAGCAAGATCAAGGTCACAATGGCCTTGAGGCTGGGCTGGGCGGGGCAGGAAAGGTGCAGAGGACCGAGGCGAGCAGGGAGAGCCCTCTCCGCACGGCCGCAGAGGCTGGTCTGACGCCGGGCAGCCTGCGCCGCCGGCGCTGCCCGGCCTCCGCCCTGGCCCGGTGGGAAGCACGCGTGGCAGGGAGGGCAGGGAGGGACTTGTTTTGAGAGGAGCTAAATAAAGCTCTCCAGTGTGGCAGCTGCGGCGCTCATCTTACAGGAACTTCTAGGAAAGCTGCGCCCCAGCTCCGCTCCCTGGCTCTCCAGCCAGCGGAGCCAGGGGCTTGATCAGGGGGAGGAGGTCGGTCTGCAGTACACCACGAAGCAAAATACGCCCATGACTTCACCTGGAATGCATTTCCAGCATGTTCTCTATCATCCTGTCTCCTTCCTGTGGGGGAAGGGGGTGAGGAAGGGAGGGAGGGGGGAGAGAAAAGGGAGTAAAAGGGAGAGAGGGGAAAAAAGGCAGGGAGAGGGAGGGAGGGAGAGAGAGAGAAAGAAAGGGAGAGGGAGAGAGAGAGAGAGGGAGAGGGGGGGAGAGAGAGAGAGAGAGAGAGAGAGAGAGAGAGAGAGAGAGAGAGAGAGGGAGAGGGGGGGAGAGAGAGAGAGAGAGAGAGAGAGAGAGAGAGAGAGAGAGACCTAAAACTAAGGATGCTAAGCACACTGGATTTTGTGTCTTATTTAAGCACTGAGGAATTCTTCTCTACTCAAAGTGTCTGCAGTTGTCATTTAGTGTCAGGTTGGATTTGCTCCTCTGGGAGAGAAAGTCTTCTGATACAAAGAAGGGAGGTAAGATCATGGCCGAGGTGAACACTTTACTGCAGGAGAAAATCAGACAACCTTGAGTTTGAGCCCAGATCTTGCCCATTTGCTACTCTGCTTCAGTTTCCCAATAAAACAGCCACTATCACTATTCACTGTTAGTAATTATCAATATCAACTAGTAAAATAAAGTTTCTATCAGTCTATCAAATAGTAATAATACACACTTATTAGATAGTATGTATGACACTCTACAATTCAGAGCTCAAAAAAAGTTATAAATACCAGGTGCTAGTATTCACACCTGTAATCCTAGCTACTCAGGAGGCTGAGATCTGAGGATCCCAGTTCAAAGTCAGCCCAGGCAGAAATGTCCGTGAGACTCTTATTTCCAGTGAATGACTAGAAAAGCAGAAGTGGAGCTGTGGCTCAACGTGCTAGAGTGCTCGCCTTGAGTGAAAAAAGCTCAGGGACAGCGCCCAGGTCCTCAAGCCCTACAACCAAAAAAAAGTTACAAATATAATAATAATAAACACTTGTATGACACTTGCCATATGCCTGGCACTCTTGATAGAACGCTTAACTCCGGAGTGTGAATTAGACTGTACAATTGCCTTTTTAAAAAATCTAAGTCATCTTTATTTTGTCTTAGGTTAGTTTTTAGTCACTTCCTGATGATTGAAAACAGAGTTAAAGGACTCTCTGGTGATTCCCATAAGAATCTCATACTCAGCTGGGCGATGGTGGCTCCTGCCTGTCATCCCAGAGACCTGAGATCTGAGGATCAAAGTTCAAAGCCAGCTCAGGCAAGGGAAGTCCGTGGGACTCTTATCGCCAATAAACCACCAGAAAACCAGAAGTGGCGCTGTGGCTCAAGTGGTAGAGCGCTAGCCTTGAGCTGAAGACAGGAGTCTCAAGGACTTTCTTGCTGGGGCTGTCTTTGAACCCTGATCTTCAGATCTCAGCCTCCTGAGCAGGTAGGATTATAGGCGTGAACCAAGGGTGCAGGGCTTCGGGCCTGGCTTTGGTCTTCCATCCGAGCCTCTTGAAAGGCTAGGATTACAGGCGTGAGCCTCTGAATCCTGGCTGAAATGCAAGCCATCCCCTGGACGCTTTGATCCTCTCACCATTGGGTTCTCCCGTGGAATCCAGGAAGGGCCTGCATAGTTCAAGCACCAGGTCCCTGTTTCCGGTTCTCATCCCAGCATCCTTTGCTGTGACAACAGTGCACAGCAGGCTGGCAGGCCGGATGAGGGAACGGCCTGGAGACCCCATGCGGCTTAATTCCCCGTGTTCCTGGCTATGGTGTACACCTGTTTCTTCCCTCCCCTGTCCGGCGGGATGCCCTGCTGTTCAAAGTCTCCTCAGAATGGCAAAGGCAGGTCGCTGCACTTCCCCGTCTTGACTCGGACTTCAGCTACCTGTTGATCTTCAAATGCTCCTCTTGGCATTTCTCTGGGTTTCCAGAAGGGGACCCCATGACTGAGACCACCTGCCTCTCCCACAGTCCCCCGCCCCGCCCCCTCCAGCAGTCAGGGGGAACAGGGTTCCTGGTACCTGGTGGTACCATCCCCCTGCGTGAGCCTTCAGGTCAGATTTGTTATTGCTGTCCTTCCCACATCCCGCCCCCTGCACGTGTCAGACGCCATTCACGCCCCTCCACCACACTGTTCCTCATGCTGTTCCCTCCCCCTGAAGACGCTCCATGCCGTCCTCTTCTCAGTCTCTGAGCACACCTAGCACGGCCCTGGGCCTCTCTTTTGCCTTGGCCTGTCTGGCACCCCACCTTGCAGGGCTCTCCCATTTCTCTGACAGACCTCTTCTGATCCTTGTATTGATTTTGGCTTCCACGCTTCACTCTTCCCGTGCTCCCTCATGTTCATCCGTCGGCTGGATGGAGCCCTCTTGGCATGGGGTGCGTCCACCAGAACTCCCACTCGGCACCAAGGGCTTCATCTGCTGATGAGGTCAAAACGGGAGATGGTGGAAGTGTGCAAGATGGCGCCTCGCTGGAGGAAGTGGGTCATGCGTGTGGCCAGTGTTGTCTTCTTCACCCGCTTCCTGTTGCTACCACTAGATCAGCTTTGCTCTGCCTCTGCCTCTCTGCGGCGTCCTCATGGATCAACATCTCTGAAACTATAAGCTTCAGTGTGGAAGCCCTCCCCTTAAGCAGCAGCTGCTCCTCCTCCTCCTCCTCCTCCTCTGCCAGTCCTGGGGCTTGAATACAGGGCGCTGTCCCTGAGCTTTTTGTTCAAGGCTAGCTTTCTACCATTTGAGCTACAGCTCCACTTGTGGCTTTTTGCTGGCTAACTGGAGATGAGTCTCACTGAGCCCGGTGCCCGTGGCTCATGCCTATAACCCTAGCTACTCAGGAGGCTGAGATCTGAGGATTTCGGTCCAAAGCCAGCCCGGGCAGGAGAGACCATGAGACTCTTTATCTCCAATAAACCACTTGAAAACCGGAAGTGGCGCTGTTGTTCAAGTGGTAGAGCGCTAGCCTTGAGCTGAAGAGCTGAGGGACAGCGCCCAGGCCCAGGGTTCAGGCCCCACGACCGAGAAAAAAAAAGAAAAAGAAGGAAGAAAAAAAGGAAGAGGCAATGAAGCTCCACGGATGCGTGGATGGCGGAAGCTGGCTTTAAACGCAAACTGTATTGCCACGTTTCTAACGTGGGGGGATGAAGTACGCCAGCGCTTCCTTGGGCCTTCAAATGGACAAACGTGGGGGGGCCTGGGCAGCACCCCACATGGGGAGCACGCCTTCCTGGTCAGCACGCACATGGGGGGAGGGGCACGCCTTCCCGGTCAGCACCCACAGGGGGGAGGCACGCGTGCCTGGGCCCGAGAGTTCGGTGAAGCCACTTCAGCCTCCATCTGCGTCGCGGCTGCGGCCGATGCCCAGGATCCAGACGCCACTGCCCTCTTGCTGGGAAACGAGCGTTAAGAGCAACGTGGGGGGGGCGCAGGCCGGGGCGGGGGCGGGCCGCAGGCGCGGAGGGGGGGTCGTTGACCGGGGGAGGGCGTAGACCGGGGAAGGCCTAAGGGGGGGGGAAGGGGGCTGCAGGCGCGGAGGGAAGGCGTAGGGGGGCACAGGCCGGGGGGGGGGCGCAGGCCGGGGGGGGCGCAGGCCGGGGGGGGCGCAGGGATGGGGCGCCGCTCCTCCATCGCGGGTGGACTGGGGAACAGGTGCGTCTCGCGCGCGTGGCGCTGGGAACCAGTTCACCTGATGCTGGTCGGAGGCTGGCCTGGGAGGGCGGGTGTGTGTGTGTGTGCGGGGGGGGGGGGGGGCGGGTGTGCGCGGGGCGGGGGCGCGGGGCGGGGGCGCGGGAGACGCCGGAGCCCGGCTGTGGGCCGCGGTGACGTCACCGCGGCGGGGGCCCCGGGGGACCCCGCGCGTCCTCGGCGCCGGCTCCGCCCCGCGCGGGGTGGGGGGCGTGGCCGCGGCGGGGGAGGGTCGCGCGGGCCGGGCGGAGCCCCCGCGCATGTCCAGACCGACGGCGCTCGCCGAGGAGGGGCCGGAGCGGCCGCGGACCGCGCTGCAGGGGAAGGGGCTCGTCTCCGGCCGCGCCGCCCCCGGGCGCCTCCGCCCCTCGGCCCCGCTGACCCCCGCGAGCCGGGGCCCCGCGTCCGGGGCCGACGAGGGCGGATCCCGCGGCCGGGGGACACGCCCAGCCCCGAGCTCCGCGCCGCGGCGGCCCCGCGGGCGGCCATGGACCCCCTCGACGGCCCGGCCTCCTAGGCCCCGCGAGGGCCGCCGCGGGCGGAGCCGGGCCGGGCCGCGCAGCGCGGGGGCGCGGGGAGGCCGCTGGCCGCGGTGCTGAGCCGGGCCCGGGCCCGATCCAGGCCCCGGGTCGTCCCGGAGGCGTTCTGGAAGGATCGCGGCGCGCGCAGCCTTGCCCGGCCGCGCGACCCCGCCGACGGGATGCGCGCCCGCGCCGCGCCGCTCCCCGCGGCCGCCCTGCTGCTCGCCTCCTGGGGTAAGTGCGGCCCGCCGCGGGCATCAGGTGGGCGCCGGCCGCGGTCGGGCGCGGGGCGCGGGGCCGGAGCCGGCCGGGGTCGGGGTCGGGCTCCGGAGGGCGGCGCCGGCTCCGGGAGCGGGGAGAGGGGCCCCGGACCCCGCCGCCCGCGGGTCCGCTGAGCGCCACCGGGAAGCCCGCTGGGCCGCCCGCCGCTCGCCGGCCCGGGGCCGCTGGCCCCCGGTGGACGCCCCTGTGGTCCGCTGCGGGCCTGGGCGGCGGGGCGGGGCGGGGCCGGGCGTGACCGGCCGCCTCGCCCTGGGAGCCCGCACGTGTGCGGGGAGCGCGGCGGCGCGTGCGTGGAATCCGAGCGGGACCGGGGCCTGTAGTGGCCGCGTGGCCTGCGCGACCTCGGCGTCTCTGGGCGGAGGCCGCGCCCCCCCCTGCCCGCGCCCACCCCTGGCGTAGGCCCGCGGTCACTCCGGCCCCGCCGGAGGCCTCGGCGCGGGGCGGCTGCGCCACCCGGGGCTCGGCCGGGCTCCCCGCGGAACGGACGGGAAGAATAACACCAAGCCCCAAGGGCAGCCTTCCCGCCGCGCGCCCCAGGGCACAGGAGACCCGGGAGGAGCGGAGCCGCAGCCTCCCCCAGGGAGGCCCGCGCTGAGAGGCTGGGGGTGCAGATGGAGGGGAGACCTTTCTCTCCACGTTTTGAGTGAGAGTCCTCCCCCGGATTCCAGTGGCGGGGACCAGCGTGCTGCCATGCATGCAGTGATTCAGACTTGCACCGAGTAGCTTGGCGTCTCTGTCCTTTGCGTTGCCAGGTGAAACCTGAAACTCTAGCTCACGCCTGCCATCCTAGCTACTCAGGAGGTTGAGATCTGAGGATCGCGGTTCAAAGCCAGCCCGGGCAGGAAAGTCTGTGAGCCTCTGATCTCCAATTAAGGAGCAGAGAACTGAAGTGGCGCTGTGGCTCAAAGTGGTAGGAAGAGCGCAGGGACAGTGCCCAGGCCCTGAGTTCAAGACCTACAACTGGCAAGCAAAAACAAAACAACATAGCTGCTTCCTCATAGGTAGACTTTAGAAGTTGGCACAGATGATCGCTAACATCCCTTTACCCAACATTGCTAGGACTTAGAACGAAGACCGCTAGAATTAGCAGTCTGCCCCCCAACTCCACCCAGTGTCTTTGGGAAACCTGTACACACTGCACCCATCCTTGCATACCTTGGCTCACCTAACTGGAAAGCTCCAGAAGGGAGGGGGGCGGGGAATGTGTGGTGGCTGATGAAGAAAATGATCCCCACTCACAAATTCAAGTTCATTTGGCTTGCATGGAATTGGAATACTGGAAATAAATTAGTGTTAATATACTTCTTTTCAAGCCATATTTGCATAGAATGCCCACAAAGTGCGGAAACAACTTTCTGAGGACCTTCTGCAGGAAAGGAAAGAGAAGTTCCCTTTTTTATTGTCACGTGATAGCTTTAAGCCCTCCACCTGCGGCTGAAGCAGCTTACAAAGCAATCTTCACTGTTTCCTTTACTCCCTGTGGCAGTGCTGTGGGTGGTGAGTCAGGGGAACAGCTGTTGCCTGGCCTCTTCTAGACTGCTGTGGGCACACGGACCCCCGTCCTAGCATTCATCCTGATGCCCTCGGCTTTCCCCGGCCTCCCCCTTCCATTTAGCTCCTGTGCCTTCTGGATGGGCCTCTGCAGGCCTTCTCCCACAGCTCCCCATCTTGCCTGTGCCAGACCCAGCAGCATAACTGTTCATCTGAGAGGCCAAATCATCTCAGGATGTTGATGTCTAAAAATAAGCCCATTCCTGACATCTTTTTTTTTTTTTGGTTGTGGGGCTTGAACTCTGGGCCTGGGCGCTGTCACTCAGCACTTCAGCTCAAGGCTAGCGCTCTACAACTTGAGCCACTGCTCCACTTACGGTTTTCTGGTGGGTTTTATTGGAGATAAGAGTCTCATGACTGTTTCTGCCTGGGCTGGTTTTGAACCGTGATCTTCAGATCTCAGCCTCCTAAGTAGCTAGGATGACAGGTGTGAGCCACTGGGGGCCAGCAAATAACTTGTTTTTGTTGTTGTTGGTTGTGAGGCTTGAACTCAGGGCCTAGTGCTGTCCCTAGGTCAAAGCTAGTGCTGTACCACTTTGGGCCACAGCACCTCTCATTTATGACCTCTTTTGGTAATTATATTCTAATGAAGGCCTCTTGCTGCAAAGGAAGTGTTCTAGAGCAAGCTTGGGAAAGGCAATGTGACAATGGACAGACTTGGTGATAGCAGAAGAGTTGGTTCTCTTTGGTTAAATATAGCAGCCATTAACACAGCCTATTCTTCTTTCTCGTTTTTTTCCCCCCACAAATAATTAATAGGCTAAATCAACTTCGTGTGTGTCTGTGTGTGTGTCTTAGTCGTGGGGCTTGAACTCTGGGCCTGGGCGCTGTCCCTCAGCTCTTCAGCTCAAGGGGAGCGCTCTACCACTTGAGCTACAGCACCACTTCTAGTTTTCTAGTGGCTTATTGGAGATAAAAGTCTCAAGGACTTTCCTGCCTGGGCTGGCTTTGAACTGTGATCCTTAGATCTCAGCCTCCTGAGTAGCTAGGATGACAGGCGTGAGCCACTGGCGCCCGCTTGATCTTTCCATTTTTTAAAAATGAGTATGTTCTTTGTCCATGCTAGACGCCACATGAGTGTGCACACATGCACACGCACACACACGCACACACACACACACATTCCTTCTCGCCAGACCCTGCCTACAGGCCCTCAGCGTCTTGTTCCCCCGTGGGCACGGCGGCTGCATGCAGCTTCCTTTTGTGAGATGTGATGTCCCTGGCAGGTTCCGACCGTGCAGATTTGTTCTGAACACCACGGAACTCCTTCCGCCTCTGCCTGTCAGTGCCGCCCACATTTGCGTTTGTTTTATTGCCAGCTGTGCCCCACTTTGGATTAAGCCTGAGTCTGAGATCTGGTACACTCGCCTTGCCCACGTGGGTCTGCGCGTCTGGAGGGCAGGGCCTGTGACGGAATCCCCGGGGCCAGGCCTCACCCCCACATTACCCCTCTTTTCCTAAAGTGCAGATAGGGTGAGGTCTCTGGACAGCTTTAGAGAACTTGGAGTCTCAGACAACAAACAACACGAGGTTGCGTCCACCTTTCCAGACGCGTGTGCCAGACCCGCCCAGCGGCAAGGAGCCGCGCCTCCCAGCAACACAGCGCCTGCCGAGCTGCTTGGCCCTGGGTAGAGGCCTGGAAGTGGCTAGAGCTCCACCAGGTCCTTTCGCGCACATGCGCATGTGGCCGTGGATGTGGCGCAGGGTGGAAGGACTCCGTGGCTGGTGGGTTGCTGGCTGGGAGCCAGCCCCGTCCATCCGCCCGTGCATCCGCCTGGACAGGGAGACGGGAGAGCGGCGTCCATCCGCCCGTGCATCCGCCTGTGCGCGAGGCCACACCCGGCCTCACGCCTCCCTTCTCTGCCCCTCCTCCCTGTCCCCTCTGCAGCTGGGGTCTGCCTCCCCGTGTGCGTGGAGGTGCCCTCGGAGACGGAGGCGGTCCAGGGCGAGCCCATGAAGCTGCGCTGCATCTCCTGCATGAAGAGGGAGGAGGTGGAGGCCACCACGGTGGTCGAGTGGTTCTACAGGCCGGAGGGCGGTAAAGACTTCCTTGTATGTCCTGGCCTGTGCGGCCGCTCCCCAGCTCCCACGCGGTCTCTCTTCCTTCAGCTCAGCCACGGGCCAGGCAGAGGCCGGCCTGGCTGGAAGGCAGCCTGGCTGGGAGGAGGGAGGAAGCCCTGCTTAGAGCTTGGGTGTGCTAGCGCCTGTCCTGCGGCCTCTGGTCTGTCCCGTCCTCCCTGCAGTCCCGAGACGTGGTTAGGGAACGCAGAGCAGAGCAGAGCAGAGCCTCCCTGTAGACGCAGCGCAGGCTGCCCTCCCCCCCTGCCCCAGACAGCGCTATGCCCGCGCCCCGCCGCACCCATCATCCTAGCTGCCCAGGAGGCTGAGATCTGAGGATGGCAGCTTCGAGCCAGCCCACACGGGAAAGTCCAGCAAAAAGCTGGAGGTAGAGGTGTGGCCTAAGTGGTCAAGCACCAGTCTTGAGCTGAAAAGCCCAGGGACAGCGCCCAGCCATTTTGGCAGCGCCCTTTACCTTCCTGGCAGAGCAGGAAATGGAGACCTCGCCGGGGAAATCCCGCAGGTCCAGCCGCAGCTGGTGCGCGCCCTTCGGGGGCACGGTGGCACGAGTCCTTCAGAAAACGAAGGAATTTCAGTCCTTGGGCCCAACATGAAAACCCTGAGGTTCAGATGTCCAGGGGCAGCGGGGGACCCTGGGTCCTGCCCTGGCCAGGCCAGCTGCCGCCTGTCCCAGGGCCAGCCAGGCTGGGCCGCCATGCTTCCCGCTCCGCCTTCCTGTCCACCTCCTGCCGCCCCTCCTCTGCTCCTGCTCCTGGGCCCCGGAAAGCACCAGCCACCTTCCCTCCTTCCCCCTTCTCCCCTGGCTTTTCCTGCCAGGCTTTCCCTACTCACCCCTTCCCGCCTCTCCCCTGTGGGTCCACGTGTCCCGACACCTGTCTGCCTCCTCTCCGCTACCGTTCTGTTCCACCCCTGCCGCAGTGTGGCTCTCCTGGGGACATGGCCCCTTCTGCCCGGCCCACCTTTCCTTCACGCCCCTGCCCCACCCCCTGCCCCTCCCCCCTGCCCCCTCCCTCCTGCCCCTGCCCCCCTGCCCCTGCCCCCTCTCCTGGCTCCACCTGCCCCGTCCTCTGCCTGCAGATCTTTGAGTATCGGAATGGCCACCAGGAGGTGGAGAGCCCCTTCCAGGGGCGGCTGCAGTGGAACGGGAGCAAGGACCTGCAGGACGTGTCCATCACCGTGCTCAACGTCACCCTCAACGACTCGGGGCTCTACACCTGCAACGTGTCCCGCGAGTTCGAGTTTGAGGCGCATCGGCCCTTTGTGAAGACCACGCGGCTGATTCCTCTCCGGGTCACGGAGGAAGGTGAGGCGCAGGGCCGGCCGGTGGGGGGTGGAGGGGGGGACCTGGCAGGCGCTACAGGCCGGCAGGAGGGCCCTGCTCCCCCAGCTGCCTCACCGCCGCCCCTCTGCCCCGCCAAGGCTCGGAGGACAGCGGGGCCGCGAGCCAGCGGTGGAGGCCGCCTCGCTCAGCCGGGGCCTGCGTGGACGCTCAGAGAAGCGTGGGGTTATCTACAAGTTCTCTCCCTTCCCACCCGGAAGCCAGCGACAGCGCCAAAGCGGTGCTCTCAGGGTTCAGCAAGCCCCAGAGCCAGATGCAGTAGTTCATTTTTATTTCTTGGGGTAGTGGGACTTGAACTCGGTGCCTGTGCTTGCTAGTGGAGCCTCGACCCGGCCCTCGCCGCTGTCACTTGCTTTTCAGGCAGGGCTCGTGGGGCTGGCTTTGCACTGTGGTTCCCCGCCTCGCTCCCCCGTACTGAGACCGGGGTGCCCAGGCCGACACCACACCCGCCCTTCACGCTGGGCTTCTTAGAACACACACTTTCTGATTGTGTAGAATTTGCATCGTCCAGCAGGCCGCCCGGGAATGCTGGCGCTGTGAGAGCGCTCTCTGAGCCATCTTTTTGGCTTTGGCGTCTGGCTTCCTCTGCCGCAATCACCACCCTTCGCCACCTGTGGCATTTTTCTTCCCATATACCCATTCTTGGCGGGAAGTGACCCTCGAGAGCTGTCCGAGGGCACCGTCTGCAGACGCCTCCGGCTGCGTCCGTGTCTGGGAGCCGGTGGCTCTCGCAGCACCCCAACACAGTCCAAGCCCAGAACCCAGGCAGGACGTCCAGCTCTTCATTTCCTCCTGTAGTCTCACCAGCGGGCCGGGAGCTGTGCTTCCAGCTCCTTGCAAATGTGTCTTCACACGCCAGCATGTGATCAGCTCAGCCAGGGGCCCGCTCACAGCGGCCGCTCAGTCATGTCCTTAGCATGCTCCTAGCATGTTCTTAGCATCATGGCTGCCCTTAGACATAGAAGGGTGAGCTCATTGCGGCCTGGGTCATGAAAAAAAGCAAGTGAGGTCAAAGTCAGCATCCTGCCTAGAGCAGCGACCCAGGAACCCTGACCGCCGGGACGCAGTCTATGTTTTTATTTTAAGTCATATTGTGGGTAAAAATAAAGAGGTGAAGGTTGTCCCGTCCTGAGAGTGAATGGCAGAGAAGATGCAGGTACACCAAGATTAAAGTGGAAGGTGGATCCCTTATGGAGGCAGAAAATGCTCAGAGCACCCGAGTGGAGGGGTGAGTCCCTGCCCCTCTCCGTGTCCAAGGTGAGCAGCAGGGGCGCGGCTGGCGGCTCTCTGGAGTATGGAGTAGCTTCTCTTCAAAAGTTCCATTCCTCTCCTGTTTACTTCGCCCGCTCCTCTCTGGGGACCGGAGCCTGGCGCCCTCTGCTGTTCAACCTCTGGAACTGTTGGCTGCGGCCTTCTAGATCTAGGTAGATGCCACTCCGAGGCCTTTGCCTCCAGAGGCCCCCTGGCCCTGGGGGAGTGAGCTAGCCAGGCAGCCTTGGGTAAGAAGAGAGGGGAGACAGGGTTATTAGAACCTCAGAGCTGCTCGGATGGTTCAGTTGGAAAGAAGTGTGGAGGATCCCCGGGAGGCGTTCTCAAATATAGGTCTGCCAGACTCAAAGCTGCAGGTGCGAACTCAGTGGGTTGGGTGCTGTCTGTCATGTTTAGGTTGAAACACCCCCTCCCCCCGGACTGGGGGAGGCAGCTCTGGGGCTGTGAGTGAGGGGCTGGCTCACGGGTGTGAAAGGGAGAGAGAGGCGGGGCAGAATCCATTTACCACCCCAGCCGCCTGCCCTCCTCCCACCCCACGCCACCACCCGCCTTTTGTTTGTCTTCTTTCTTCTCTGCTGTCCTTATGGTCCCTTGGCAGCCTCCCATGGGACCCTCCCCGTACCCCGGTTGCTCAGAGGTGGCGACCCCATCTCCCCATCCCCCATCCCTGGGCCTTTCTGTTCAAGTTGGACTCTTCCTGGCCTTAGGCTCTTAGCCCCTGTTCTGAATAGAAATCTAAAGCCTCTTTACCTAGAGGAACTGAAACCCCTGAGAAGGGGCATGGAGGCATGGCTCAAGGGGTAGAACACCTGCCCAACAAGCACAAGGCCCTGCGTTCAAACCCGTGTGCCACCACCGCGAAAAACAACCCACTGAGAACAGCTTCCGGGGTGGAACTCCTGAATGAAGCAGACAGTGAAAGCTCCAGCTCCTTTAGCGTTGATGCTCAGTTAAGCCACACTTAGCCCAGCACCAGTGCTCACACCTGTAAGCCTAGCTATTCAGGAGGCTGAGATCTGAGGGTCAAAGTTAAAGCCAAAAAATCCAAGGGACTATCTCCAACTAACCAGTGTAAAAAGTACTGGATTGAGGCCTGGCTGGAGTGGGAAAGCACCAGCTGTGAGCAAGCAGCCAGACGAGAGGAGGAGGCGCTGAGTTCAGGCCCCAGAACTGGCGCACACAGAACAGGCCCCCACGGCAGGTGCGGGTGCGTGGGACACCCACATCAGAGTCTCCTCCTCCTCCTCCTCCTCGCAGCTGGAGAGGACTTCACCTCTGTGGTCTCGGAGATCATGATGTACATCCTGCTGGTCTTCCTCACCTTGTGGCTGCTCATTGAGATGATATACTGCTACAGAAAGGTCTCGAAGGCCGAGGAGGCAGCCCAAGAGAGCGCGTGAGTGCAAAGCCACCGAAGTCATGGTGAGAGCTGTCAGGGGCGAGGAGATGGCTGGGCAGCCGTCGGGACAGCCCACCACGCAGGCAACACCATTGCCCCCATTTACAGATGAGCAACAGCAAAGGGGGAGCGTTGCCCGCAGACCCTTGCCAGCCCGCCCCGCCCCGCCCCACAGTCCCCCTCCCCCCGCCCCGGCCCGGCCCGGCCCATACAGTCTCGAGCAGCAGGCAGGGGTCAAGTGGCCTGCTGGGGTTGGGCACAGTGAATGGAGATGGCGGGATTTGAACCTGGCCTCCCTGTCCCTCGCATCCATTCCCACTCCTTGTGTGGTGGTCAGCTGGTTCCTCCAGGGCGCTACCCCGAGTCCCGCGTTCTTCCCTTAGAACCTCGAAGCCATTGAAGACCCCACCCAGGGGCTGTAAAGGTCTCCTGTCCAGCCCACACCTTCCTCGTTCCACCAAGACCCCGGGTCCCTCAAGAGCACATACGAGAAATGGGGGACACGCGAGAGAAGGGGCTAAGGGACCACGCTGGCAGGCTGAGCGGGGAGAGGAAAGACAGAAAAGAACACAGGCCTCAGCGGGCCGCCCAGGCCACAGCCTGCAAAGCCAGGGCTGCTAGCACCTGGAAATGGGTGTGAAACGCTGAGCACGGATGCTGCACGCACAGCGCTAGTCCCCGCTACTCGGGAGGCTGAGAGCTGAGCATTATGGCTTGAACCTAGCCTGGGCAGAAAAGCCCATTTGACTCTTACTTCCAACTAACCAGCAAAAGGCCAGAAGCAGAGGTATGACTCAAATGGTAGAATGCAAAGCCAAGGGAGAGCGCAAGGCCCTGAGTTCAAGGCCTAGTACTGGCACTAAGTCATAAATAAAACCCTATTTTACACAATATCTATGGTCTCAGGAAAGTAAAAAAATATGTATGATCATATACAGATAAATTATGCTGAAGCAGGCTGTGATTGCTTAATTGCTTAGATTTTGGTGCTTGAGCAGGAAATGCTCATGCTTAGACAGGAAGTACCCAGGCTTAGGAAGTACCTAGATTGGGCCCATATAGGAAACAGAATTGGAACTAAGACCCTCAGAACCAGAATCCCAGAGAGCTGTGACCCATCCACAGCGACCAGAGGCAAGTCCAGGAAATTTACCCTGACTCCACATAGAAGCATAAAAGAGTCTGGAGAATTAGCAACCAGAAGCCTGGCCTCACAGTACTTGGATTTTAGTTGATAGGACTCCTGTGATCCAGGCAGCTCTGAGATGAGGAACTCAGGGGAAGCGTCTCAGGCAGTGCCATGGTGCGTCTCACGGACACACGGGAGACGTCATTCTTCCCAGACTGATACCTGCAGGTCCATGTCAGTCTGATCCACGAGCAAGCCACGCTCTCTTCCCTGCCCGCCCTGTAGGTCTGACTACCTTGCCATCCCGTCGGAGCACAAGGAGAACGCCGCGGTCCCCGTGGAGGAATAGCGCCAGGGCCTCGCGGTGGCTCCAGGTGACATCCAGGATGTGGAGGGGAGGGGACTGCGGGGTCTCGGCTGCCTGGGGCACCCGCAGCCCCAGTGACTTCACGTCTGGCTCCTTAGGCCAGGTTCTCCCCACCCTTGAGGTTCTTTGGTTGATGCTCAAGTGTCCAGTCTTTCAGGGGTGACCTGAGCCATGGGGAAACCTCATTCCCCGCCCCCCCCCCCCCCCCCCCGCCTCCCCAGCATCCGATCCCCGCCTGCTCCCTCTCTGAGCACAGCATGTTTGGATTCCACCGGGGCTGGAAGTTCTCAGTGAGTTGTTTTGTCGTTGGTAGGTGGCCTCCGCACCCGGGTTCGAGAGGTGGAGGGCAGCAGGAGGCGCAGCCCAGCCCGCCCTCGCTGCAGCCGCACCTCTCCCCTGCCCACGTGGCGTGCATCCACCGCATCCAACCTTTCACTCCCGACCTCTCAAGACTCTGCCACCACGGAGGAGCCGGCATTTTCCACGGACTCAACCTCACCCTCTCCTGCCTTTTCCAGCCGGATTTCTCCTGTGGGCAGCCAGTGCTGCAGAAGTGCTGGGGAGGGGGTAGAGCGTCCCTCCGCTCCCCCGGCCGGGGCGGCTCTTCCTCCATTGCTGCAGGAGACGGAAGCAGGCAGTGACTCGGCTGGGTCAAAGCAAAAGCCTGCTGTGCACCGGGGCACTGTGAAGTCTAGTGTCCCCAGTTCATGGCCCACGTGGCTACAGCACCAGAGAGAAGCGTGCCTCTCTAGGTTCTCCTTCTATACGGACCGAGGGGTTCTCTGGAGCTTAGTACTCCAGCACTAGAGCCCGACAGGTCTCTGGAGACCTGGACTCCGTCCTGAGGCACCAAGGATGAAGGGCAATTTAAGGAGCTCGTCGGGGTCACATGACACCGTTCTGATCTTGTTTGGATTTCTCTCTGTCCTTAAAGAGAGCAGAGAAACAGTGGGAAAAATATTAGTCAACCTCATTTTCACTTTAGAGACTGGTCCAAGGGCAATACCCTTCATACCCGGCGATGAGAGAGGGGAGGGGGGTCTTAGCGGATGCCAGATGGCAGTGTCTGAGGCCCGGCCAGAGCCCTGCCCCTCGGAGCTGGGAGATTTATACACAAGGCCATTTTCCTTGGGCTTTGGGCTGCATGTAACAAGCCCATTTTCTTTCCATCTTTTCCATCCCAGAGATGTCCTTGAAATGAGACCCCACATGCATAAGTCGGAAGGAAATAATGCAATAAATCCAAAACCCTTAATAGTAATTTTCCACGCTATCCTTCTGAGACTGGGGATAGCCTGTTACAGTAGGAAACAAGTCTGGTTAGCACAGGTTTACCTAGCCACAACCGGTCCAGACCCCGCCCCCAGCAGCAAGCTCTTCCTTTCCAGGCCACTTCCGCTTGGTTCCGGGGGACCGGGCGCGTAGCTTGCGGTGAGGTTGTTTGCATGGCTGCTTTCTCTTCCTGCTTTCTTTGTGCAGGTGCTTGCTTAGCCGCACTGGGGTTTCAACTTGGGGTCTCAAGCTTGCTCTGCTTGCTGGTTTGGCTGGCACCCAACCATTTGAGCCTTGAATCCAGCCCAACTTTTTGTCAGTTATTTTGGAGGTGGCATCTTGCAGATTTTCCTTCCCGTGCTGGGCCTTGGGTCCTCTAGCTCTCAGCCTTCTGAGCAGCTCAGATCACAGGTGTGAGCCACCCGTTCCGGGCATTTCTTTTCCCCATCACTACCTTTTTTAAAAAGCCCCACCCCAATGTCTTCAAAGTGATTTCTGATGAAGCTGAATGATACGCATTGTTTATCCAAGTTATCTTTCTCTTCCCTTTTCTGACTCTTCAACCCCTCGCGTCGGTGATGCTGTCATTCGAGCGTATGGCTTGTGAGGCCATTTTATGCCTCTGCAGTGACCTCTTGGGGTGGAGACGAGGACGTTAGTTAAGCAGCTTTACTGAATCATCACACTAGAGACTCAGCGGGAGCCAGAATCTGAGCCTTCTCACCTCCATCCTGGCTTGCCGTCTGCCTAGACACTGCCGCCTCCTGCCCCTCTGTCACGTCCACCGAGCTCTTCCCTGCTCCTGCTTCCCCGCCAGCCCTCCCCCTCTTCTTCCCCCCCACCACTGCGCAGCGTGCTGGACGGCGGGACGGTGCCAGAGAGAGTCCATCTCATTCTCGTCTGATTGGGTTTGCGCTTCATCTCTCCAGAGCTGCCGCTCATCTCCTTCCCGGAGCCTTGACCGTGAGGATAAATCACCAGCCTATTTAAGTCTTCACCCTTCTCCCTCTTCCCGTATTCCTGCACAAGGCCCAGCTACACATGTGCGGCTCTGGAAGCTTCATCTGGCATGCTGTTGCTTGTCGAAGGGCTTAGAAGAGTTCTCAGGGGCCAGAGCCATTGTGAACCCCACCTGTCGTCCTGGCGCTGGGACGTCCCAAGGCTGATTCTCAATAACACAGCTGAGCCAGGGCCACGCGGAGCTCAGTGTGGTGCCGCCTAAGCCACTGCCTCACCACGAACGTACCCCGCTGGGCTCCAAGGCCGCTCGCCTCTTGGGCCTACACTGTCAGCTCAGCCTGGTGGCAGAGCTCCGACCTCGGGTGGGAAGACCTGGCAGCCAGTGCCCGTCCTTCCCCCAGCCTCCATTTCCACAGTTTACCTTTCCATTCTCCATCTCCAGCCATTTGCGTAGAGTTTTTTTTCTTCAAGGTGTTTTTGGGCGTGCCTTTGATGTCACACTAGAACTGTGAGTAGCAAAGGGAAATTCCCAAGGAGGAAATATGCTGAAAAATATGTCCCACAGTGAACGGCAAAGGGGAGGAGAAAGTACTCTGTCTCCTTCCAGTCCTACACAGGACAATAAAAACATGTCGGGAAGAGTAGTACACGCCAGTCCCACTAATCAGGAGGCTGAGGCAGGAGGAAAGCGGGAGCCCACAAGTTAGAGGTAAATCTTGCAAACCAGCCTTGTCCAACGCGAGAGGTGAGGGAGAGAGGAGAGCAAAGCAGAGAGAGAAGGCTGTGCCGATAGCCTTGCCGGAAGGCGCTAACTTTTCAGACACGTCTTTGACCATCCCCTTTCCCGGTAAGCGGAAGAGTAATGGGAGGAGAAAACAACAGAAACCTCTGCCCACCTCCCCCTGCAAACAGACGGGAGCCCCGGCTCCGTGGCCTCCTGTGGCTGCTGGAAATGGGTTCAGATAGTGCTTGGAGTGCCTGCTATCGGCCTTCCCACCATCCCTCCCCCGACTTCATCCAGCACCCACCCGTCTACACCCGAAGACCCTGGGTGTGAAAATGCCACCATCCAAACCCTGCTTCATCCCTCCGGTACCATGGTAGACGGTGAGCAAGTCTGACCACAGCTCTGGCGCAGGCCGGCTGCACCACAGAGCCCAAGTTGCTCGGTCCTTGCTCCCTGCGTCCGCGCTGCTGGCTGGACGGGCAGGGTGCGGGCGGGTGGGGAGGGCAGGGGGTAGAGCGGGGCGGGAAGGGAGGTCACCCTGACCAGTGCTTGTGAACCACCATCAAACACAACTAGCAAACTCGGCATAGCGGTAGATGGAATCTTCCCTCCTGGTCACCCCACAGCACCTCCTGCATTTCCTACCCCAGAAACATTGCGACAGACCACCCATGCCCACAGCCTAACGCTGCTCGTAGTGTTTTCTTTCAATAACCTTCCTGTTCTCAATAAAGCTGGCTCTGCTCTGCTCTGCGTGTGTCTGCTGCGTAGACTGGCGCCCCTCAGCACCTCATGGAACCCCCGTGCTGGATAGACTCCAGCCCTCCCCACCCAGCACCTACACCCTGTGAGCACACCCAGAGAACGGAAACACTCCCTAGCCTACCAGGAAACATGGCTCTGTGTGATCTTCCCTCCTCTACTGAGATTCAGAAGAGCACAGGAGACATCATCTCACCCAGCATCAACTTTGCTGACCCGGTGGTAGACACCAGTGGTGAGGGAACTCGGGGAGGTGGGGGGGCACGGCTCTCGCCTCCGCTTCCCGAGGCGCATCAATGCAAGGCAAAGCGTCTCCTGATTTCCCTCGTCCTGGAAGTGCCAAGATCCCTCAAAGGGAAAAGTACGACAGGAAACGGGATCCCGCCGCCACAGCTCTTACAGTAGCCCGGACTGAGCCGAAACAAAATCAGTCTGGGGTGTGATGGCTCATGGCCGGAACTGAGGCTGCGGGGGAGGCTCAGATGGGGAACATGTCACCGACTCCCAAGCAACCAGGCTGGGCGCAGTGGTGTGCTGCTGCGTCCGGGCTGCACAGGAGGTGTAAACAGGCGGATCGCGGTCCAGGCCAGCCAGGCACTGATGCCAGACCCTATTTGAAAAATAGAACAGAAAGGGCCGTGGACATCATTCAGGTGGCTGCCTGGCCAGAGCGAGGCCCGCAGTCACTCGTGCTGCAGAAGGACATCCTCAACACACCAGGGTGTGGGCGGCGCGACGACGCGGATCCGGCCCCGGCGGGCACGGCGCACACAGGCGCGCACGCCAGGAACACGCGCCACACGAGAAACCACGCGCACGGCCCACGCGTGATTCAGTGCTCCGCTCTACGCTGCGCGGCCACGGCGCTGGCGCCTCACCGAGGTTTGGCTGGCGGCCTTGCGCGTCTCTAGGTTCTAGCAGTGAACTTCCCCGGCCACGCCCCCAGCGCCGGCCACGCCCCCAGCGCCAGCCTCGCCCCCAGCGCCGGCCACGCCCCCAGCCCCGGCCACGCCCCCAGCGCCGGCCTCGCCCCCAGCGCCGGCCACGCGCCCAGCGCCGGCCACGCCCCCAGCGCCGGCCTCGCCCCCAGCGCCGGCCACGCGCCCAGCGCCGGCCACGCCCCCAGCGCCGGCCTCGCCCCCAGCGCCGGCCACGCGCCCAGCGCCGGCCACGTTCTTCCCCGTCCGGGGCCCGGGGCGAGGGTGGGCGCTGGTCCCTCTCCTTACCCCCCCCACGCCGCCCGTCAGCGTGGCTCACGGGCTGCCACGGCCGCTCGCCCGGTCCTCCCCACCGCGGAGCCCAGGCTGAGGGGAGAGCACCGCGGTGGTCCCTGCAGACAGTGGTCTGGCCCTGGGGTGCAGGGAGGGAAATGTGGGTGCCACACATACTGGTTGGCAAAACGGGGGGGGGTCCCCGTGCAGCTGCGCACACGGTGGGCGGGGTCCCGTGCAGCTGCGCACACGGCGGGGGGGGGGGGGAGGGGGCGGGGTCCCGTGCAGCTGCGCACACGGCGGGGGGGGGGGGAGGGGGCGGGGTCCCGTGCAGCTGCGCACACGGCGCGGGGGGGGGGCGGGGTCCCGTGCAGCTGCGCACACGGCGGGGGGTTCCCCGTGCAGCTGCGCACACGGCGGGGGGGAGGGGGCGGGGTCCCGTGCAGCTGCGCACACGGCGCGGGGGGGGGGGGCGGGGTCCCGTGCAGCTGCGCACACGGCGGGGGGTTCCCCGTGCAGCTGCGCACACGGCGCGGAGGCGGGGGGGGGGGGTCCCCGTGCAGCTGCGCACACGGCGGGGGGGGTCCCTGTGCAGCTGCGCACACGGCGGGGGGGGGTCCCGTGCAGCTGCGCACACGGCGCGGAGGCGGGGGGGGGGGTCCCCGTGCAGCTGCGCACACGGCGCGGAGGCGGGGGGGGGGTCCCCGTGCAGCTGCGCACACGGCACGGAGGCGGGGGGGGGGGGGGTCCCCGTGCAGCTGCGCACACGGCGCCGGCGCTCGGGGCCAGTCCCCACAGAGCCAGCCGCACCGCCTGGCACGCTGCGACGTCTCCGGTGTGGAGAGAAGCGAGAAGGCCCGGGGCGGAGGTGGCCATGCCCTTCGACCCTCCGTGCGGCGGGGAGAGCATCCGCTCGCCACACGCCGTCACAAGACCCCTCAGCGGTCGCCCGGGACACAAGCGGGGAGCCGACGGGACCCCCGGCCGGCGGAGCAGACAGCCTTCCAGAAAAAATCCAAAGCCAGAACCATCCCTCCTCGTGCGTCCAGAATGAATGTTCTGGAAAGACAAGGGATCGGCCAGGCTGCTGGAAGTCGGGGGTAGGATGGTTGTCCCGAGGCCGGGAGGCGGGTAGGGTGGAGTTGGGAGGAGGTCCTTGGGGATTCCTGCAGGCCGGGACAGGGGCCGAGGGAGATTCCCCCAGGGCCGGTCCTGGACCCCGGCAGACGGGGCGGCCAGCACCGCACAGCACAACACAGAAAGGGCCCTCTCGGACCACGGCAGGGTAGAGCCAGGGCCTCACCCTACAGACTCGGCCCCAACGCACGTAGACTATGGGCCTCGTTCCCTCGAGGGCCTACACCAACCGCAGAGCTTTGGCCAATGCTATATAATTGATCCGAGCCCAAGGAGGGTTCTGGTTGAGCCCGGAGAGGACCGCGAGGCTGGGCATGGCTTCACACCACTCTGCCCTCTGTCGTGAGGAGCCATGGCGTGAGGAGAGGCTTCACGGTGCTGAGCGATGGAGGACGGGCTCATCCCTGATAGTGCTCTTCTGTCCCCGACCCTCTCCCCCCAGTCCCTCACCAAAGGAAGAAGAAACGCCTTCCCAAGTTAACAGATGTCTCCGCTCTCGCCTCTGCTGCGGGGCCTCCCAAGCCCTCCAGCCCCCCGAGCACAACACCTAGCCACTCGGCTTCTGGGACACCCACATGCTGCCTGAGTGTTCACGAGTGACCAGAGAACCTCTAACTCACGACGCACGGCCTGGAGTGTGTGGGGCCTACCCTGCAAGCGAAGCCAAAGCAAGCTTCCACCCCAGAGAGGCCGGCCTCCGCCTGTCACCGCGGACACTGCAGCTGACCACAGCGCCCGGCTCAGCCTCAGGCGGCTGGCCTTGCGGTCCTGGGACGAGGTCCCCTCATCTGGGGAACTGGAGCTGTCTACACAGCCGGCTGCTGGGAGGCGGGTCGTGCCGATCCCACCATAGTAAGCCAGAATGGAAGTCTATAATCCTGGAGCTGTGCTTCATCTGGTTAGAAACTGCACATTAGGACTGAGCACAGCCTCTCAAACATTCTCCCACACAAATCCTCACAGGGAGAGGTCTGTGGGGCCTTCAGCATTCCTTCATTAATTACAACTAAAATAAAAGCCGGTGGCCGGAAGGCGCTCACCCCGGCAGGGCTGACCCCAGGCTTGTCTGCAGGAGCAACTGAGCCTTCTCTTCACAACTCACTGCCTAAGGGAGGAAATCGGTTTCGCGGGGGAACGCATACTTGTGTTTTCAGTTTCAAAGCCAAAGCAAGGCTGCGGCTGCGGCGCGGCGCGGGTGGAGCGCCGAGAGTTCGCGCCCCGGAACGGCTACCACGATAATAATGAAAACCACAGAGAAATCTCACAAGAGATCCATGGTTTTTTTTTTTTTAAAGGAGAAACACCCTAGATACACACATCACTCCTGGGGTTCTGGGGTTCAAACCACCAGCTCCTCTGACACCTGAGCGGGCCGTGCAGGCGGACTCGGTGGCCAACGCTGCCCCTGCCATCCCCTCCCCCCACGCACACACCCACTTTACGCCATTCTGTAGGACTCACGTCATCTTTAATAATGAGGCTCAGTGATCACGTATGCCATCAATTGAACAGTTCTGGGGGTGATTTGGGGCCCCAGGCTACTCCCAGGGGCAATTCTTTGGCATCTGCACCTTTCCTTCGCGGCGTGGCTCACGGGTGCTGACTGCGGTCCCCAGCGTCTCCCTCAGAGTCCGGGACGAAGGACTGCGTGGTGAGCGACTGTGGCCGGGGCACGCGCAGCCTCCGTGAGACGCCTCTCACCTCCCCACCCTCCTCCCGTGGACGAGGGCCGGGCAGCTACCCGGCGTCCTCACCGTCCCTCTGGAAAATACCAAGACCTAGCTCTCAGACAAGACCCAAAGAAGTCAAAAGCTTTCCGTTTCCGAAAATGCAATGTTCCAAACCATTCTAAGAGAAGCCTGCCGCTGCAGTTGGTCACGGTAACATCTTCCCTCCTTGGCGCTGGTGTTTTGGGAGACTTGGGCTCTGGGTTTTTTCTGCCGTTTGTGTCAAGAGGCCCAGGAGAAGAAGGAGAGCATCTGGCCAGGTGAACCGGGGTTCTGCACTAGGGATGTCCATGAGCCCTGCCCAGGGCTGGCAGCATTCCTATGGTTATGGCGGAAAAAACCAGTAGTGTGTGGGCCATGGACGCGCCCAGAAGGGCCTCCCGTGATCAGAGAAAGCCAGCAGTCCAAGTAGGCCAAATCTGGCGGGCTTATGCTCCTAATTCAGCGTCTTCCCTCTACTTCTTGGTAATCTCGTACTTCTCTGGAATCAGAAACTTGCAGGATTTGCACACACGCACACAAACAAGCCCAGAGACGCAGGGATGGGATGGGATGGCCTCCGTGTGGGTAGTGGCTCCTTCGAGCCCCATCTCTGTCCAAACACAAGCACCTGCACCAAAGCCTTCTTTCCACGATCTCAGGAGCTGTCTCCACTGCTGACGCCAAACACGCCGGGACCCACAGAGGCTGGGCTGGGGCGCTCGCTACAGAATGCTGGGCACGACCTGCCAACACCCACAATCCTAGGGCATTCTCTCTCTTTCAAAGTCTTGCTCACCCTGGAGAGTCTAGGACACCCTGAAGCACATCCCAGATTCAAACTCACAGCTCCCAGCGAAAGATCAGAGCTACGGATCTGACTTGGGTTCTAACCACTAACCTGGGTTTAACAAGGTCAAAAATGTCCTACCCGTGGCTAATAGACAGCGTGCTCTTAGGGCACAGAGAAACAATAGGACTTTAGGCACTAGAAAAGTGACACTCCTCCCAGATCCAGCCTGGGAGAAAAAACCAGAGAGAAAAAGGGACCACAGCCATCCAGCTCAGAGCGCAGCGCAGGGCAGAGCAGGGCCGGCTGAGAGGGCGGCTTGGGCTGGCCCGTGGCCTCTGTGCTCAGGCCCTCCGATGCTGCCCGCCCGCCCACCTGGGCCTCAGAGGGGTCCCCCGCAATGGCCGCCAGGGTGGAAGTTTGGATCCGACTCTTGCCCCCCATGCTCCTGGGCTCCTGAGAGAAGGCCTGGGGAAGCAAGGGGTGGGGAAGAACAGGTTGTCTTTTATTTGGAAACAAATCAAAAAGGGATCAGGGAATGAAGCACCTTAAGCAATGCCCCCTCGAGACTTCTCTCGAGACCGCGGGTCTTCACAGGCCTGACTTTGGCTCAGCAACACTTCCCTTCCAAGAGCCAAGAGTGGCCAGCAAGGGAACGGTGAGAAAGGGAGGGAGGAGGAGGATGGGGGGGGGGGGTGCTAAGAGGTGGTCCCTGTCCTCAGCCCTCCAGTGCTCCGGCTGGACAGGGGGGTGGGTGGGGTGGGGGCCGCGCCTTCTCCCTGGTACATAGGTATGATCTCTTTAAAATCTGTATATAATATATATATATATTATATTCTGCATATATATATATTTATATATATATATATTTATAGGGTCTATGTACACGTATTGCACAGGTCTCTGCAGCTGCCCTCTCCTGCCTTGTCAGTGGTAATGGCTCCGCTTCTCGTCGCTGTCGGACGTGTAGCCCCGGGAACGGATGCCGTTCTGCAGATTGATGAGCGAGTCCTTCATCTGTAAGACAGGGGCCCGGCCCTTAGGGAGTGTCTCCACGCGGCAGCGGCGGTCACGCACCCCTGTGGCAGGTCCACAAGGAGGCCACGGGTCGGTGGGAGCAGGGAGTTCATGCAAGGTGCTTCGGTCAGCTCCTCACTGGCCACCCCGGGGAGGCTCACTGTCTTAAGCGCTACATCTCTCTAGAACTTTCTCTAGTTGGTGACCCATGCCTGCAATCCTAGTTACTCAGGAAGCTGAGAGCTGAGAATTGTGGTTCAAAGCCTGCTGGGTCAGGAAAGTCCAAGAGATTCTTATCTCCAGTAAACCAGCAAAAAGCCAGAAATGGAACTGCGGCTCAAGTGGTAGAGTGCCAGCCTTGAGCAAAAGAGCTCAGGGACAGCGCCCAGGCCGTGAGTTTCACGCCCCAGAAGTGGCACCAAACAAAAAGGAAAATGGCAGATGTCTGCTGAGAAGACAAATCCGTAAAAGCAGAGAGACCTCAGACAAATATGCCTGTCCAAGGCCTACAAGTTACAAAAATAGTAAATACATAAGTAGATGCATAAGAAAAGGTTGTTTTCAACTAACTTACAGCCTTCCTGGTGTGAAGTCAACGTGTGATTTTTTTTTTTTTTTTTTTTTTTTGGGGTCCGGTCATGGGGCCTGAACTCTGGGCCTGGGCGCTGTCCCTCAGCTCTTCAGCTCAAGGCTAGTGCTCTACCACTTGAGCCACAACGCCACTTCCGGCTTTTTTCTTTTTGCTTATGTGGTGCTGAGGAATCGAACCCAGGGCCTCAGGCATGCAAGGCAAGCGCTCTACCACTGAGCCATCTTCCCAGCCCCTCAACGTGTGATTTTACTGACCCGAATTATTCTGAGGAATGCCTGGGTGTCTAACGCCCGTGTGAGGATGGCTTCAAGCGGGGGCAATGGACGCGCTGGTGGAGAGGAGCGAGCCTCGGGAGCGGGAGGCATGGATGAGGGCCTTTCTCCCAGCATAAGGAGGGACCCCCGTCCCTCCCCCCCCCCCCCACTCTGGGGACGCGGGGACACGCAGATGCTCAGGCACCGTACCTGGTCAAGGAGTATCACAGAGGATTTGATAATCTCTCTCCACTTTTGGAGCTCAGAGTCGTGGTACTTTTGTTGAGACTCTAAGAGCTGGGCCCACTCTGTCTGCGACTGGGGTAACCTGTGGGGTAGAGGGGGCGCCCCGGCAGCTGGAGTTATGCTCAGCGGACCGTCCTGTGTTCCCAGACCCCTAGGACAGAGAGTCACATCAGAGCACCTTGTCCTCTGCTCACGGCCCTCACAACCCAGTGGGCGCCCCAAACCAGCGGCTCATCCCAAAGCCGCCTCCCCCTCCCTGGTTTGTGAGGGCGGTGAGGGCATCCCAAGGGCCCCGGGGCGGAAGCTAGGCCTCGGAAGGAGGCAAGGCCAGGATTACCTCTCCTGGAGCCGGAGCCCCTGCCAGGCGGTGAGGGTCTGGGTGGTGTACTCCAGCATCCACAGCTTGTAGAAGAGCATCGTGTTGAGGATGACCAGCAGCACCAGGCTAGAAGACAGATGAAGAAGGAGAAGCAAGGGCCATCAGAGGGCTGTGGGTGGGAACTGCTTCTGCCCCGCCCCCCCCGCCCCGCCACGCCCCGCCCCCGTGCTGGTCCTGCCCAGCTGCGTCCTCTGAAATGAGCAAAGGGAAGCAGCAAACGGGGAGAGCAGCAGCCTGGTCTGGAGCAGCCTGCGCATAGCAGGGGAGTGTGGAGAGGGCTGTGGGGCGAAGGTACTGGGCACGGGGAGGGAAGCTGGAGAGGAAGATGAAGGGTGTAAGGGAATCATCCGAGAGCCAGTACCTGAAACAGATCCTGATGGGAGCAAGGGAGAGAAAGGAGGAGGAGGCAGAGGTTAGAAAGAGGAGTGGGGAACGGGGTCGGGGGCCGAGAACAAGTGAATGCACATGAGAAAGAGATACGAGGCGCTGGGAGCACAGGGGAAGGAGTCCAGGAAGGAGCGAGCAAGGGAAAATGGGGCAAACCCGCTCGAGTTCCACAGGTGCTAAATGGAGAAAACGCCCTGCCTCCCGACAGACGGACGCTGGGACTCCAGTGCCGGAGGAGCAGGAGCGTGCGCCTCCCGCCGCGGGCAGCTCCTCCCGGCTGCAGAGGGCCCCACAGCTGGGCCTGGGGTCACCGAGCCCAGCCGAGGCCTCCCAGAGCCTGCGCCGGGACTGGTGTGAGGCAGGGAGGATGAGCAAGGGTAACGCAGGGGCCGGAGGACGGTGTGTGTGTGTGTGTGACAGGGAGGACGGTGTGTGTGTGTGTGTGACAGGGAGGACGGTATGTGTGTGTGCATGCGTGCGTGTGTGTGTGTGACAGGGAGGACGGTGTGTGTGTGTGTGTGTGCGTGTGTGTGACAGGGAGGACGGTGTGTGTGTGTGTGTGACAGGGAGGACGGTGTGTGTGTGTGTGTGACAGGGAGGACGGTGTGTGTGTGTGTGACAGGGAGGACGGTGTGTGTGTGTGTGTGCGTGCGTGTGTGTGTGTGTGACAGGGAAGACGGTGTGTGTGTGTGTGACAGGGAGGACGGTGTGCGTGTGTGTGTGCGTGTGTGTGACAGGGAGGACGGTGTGTGTGTGTGTGACAGGGAGGACGGTGTGCGTGTGTGCGTGCGTGTGTGTGTGCGTGTGTGCATGCGTGTGTGTGTGTGTGTGTGTGTGTGACAGGGAGGACGGTGTGTGTGTGTGCGTGTGTGTGACAGGGAGGACGGTGTGTGTGTGTGCGTGCGTGCGTGTGTGTGTGTGACAGGGAAGACGGTGTGTGTGTGTGTGTGTGTGTGTGACAGGGAGGACGGTGTGTGTGTGTGCGTGCGTGCGTGCGTGCGTGCGCGTGTGTGTGTGTGTGTGTGTGTGTGTGTGTGTGTCTCCTCCCAGCTTGGGGGGCTGCCTGGGTCATTTTGGGACTGAACATTATAAGATGGCGGAGAAGTGAAGAGAGTAAATCCAGACCCGCTCAGGATTGAGGACAGCTTGTGGGACCTCCCTTAAAAATGTCTAACCCTATTTTGGTGGTACTGGGGCTTGAACTCACTCTCTAGGCAGGTGCTCTGCTGCTGAGCCACGCCTCCAGCTCTATGTCACACTAGTTGTTTTTCAGATAGGGTCTCCCTCCCCTCCCGCCCTCAGGTCTGCAATCCTCCTACTTTACACTTCCCGCTGTAGTGGGGATGGCGGGCACACGCTACCACGCCCAACTTCTTCCATCCCAGGTGGAGTCCCTTGGGCTGGCCTGAACCTGCATGCTCCCAATCTCCACCTCCTATGGTTCTGGGATGTGAGTGCTGCCCAGCACAGGGCAGACATCTAGGCCCCTGCTGGAAGTGAATGGGCTCCTGAAACGTGGGATGGCCCTCAGTCAGCATCTACCCTGCCTGTGGGGCTCTGGAGCGTCCCTGCCTCTCTCACGGTTGGCGTTTGCGTCCTGACAGGTTGGAGTTCCGTGTGCAGCCTCACTAGGTGCTAAGTGAAGAGAGAAATGGTAAGAAGTGACAGACTGCGATGCAGACAGAGAAGACCAGAGGACCAAACAAACAAACGGACACGATGGGGGGCGCTGTGTGCGGGAGAGGTGGCAGGGGTCTTCCCGGGGCTGCGTGCGGGGGGCAGGGAGCGTCGAGTTCTTACACACAGCTGATAACCAGCAGCAGCTTGGACACGCTCTGCAGGTGGAAACCATTGGGGGTGTCCTCGGGGGTGTGCCGCGTCTGCGTGGAACCTGCACGAGAAGGAGGAGGCCACTCAGATGCCTCTAGAGCCCTCTGTCCGCCAAGACGGCGCTGGTCCCTGGGACATTGGCAGGATGCTGCCCAGACTTACAACAGGAGGAGGTGGGCCCAAGGATGGGGTCAACAGGAAGTCCATCCCCCCAGATGAGGTCAACCCCCGAGCTCGGGGCCAACGGGAGGTTAGTAAGAGCACATGAAAGTGTTAAACAGGGCCCAGAGCATGGGGAGCCTCACCCTTAGTTACAGACAGATCACACTCAAGGTGCAAAGTTGCGTATACGTGCAAATGTGTGCACGTGTGCGTGAGCGATGACCCCAGCCCCAGCGGGGACCCACCTGCCACGTGCTTGGTCCTGTGGCCCACGTCTTCATCGGTGGGCGTGGTGACGGGGCTCATGGCCTCCTCCAGGTGGGGCACCCGCAGGTGGGCGTGGGGCCGCTTCCGCCTGCGCACGGCGGGCGTCTTGCTGCTCTTCTCCTTGGGGGACTGCCGGTGCATCTCGGCCAGGTAGGTGCTCTCGGTTTTGGTCAGCTCGCTCTCTGTCAGGCACAGAAGGGCCGCATGACCGCGCCTCTTCCCGGCCTTCAGAGACCACTTCCTACGAGAACACTTCCCTACCCCAGGGCCTGGGAGGCCAGCCGGTGGGCAGAGGCCCTGGGGATGCCAAAGGAGGAACTCCAGCGCCGCCCCCCCCAGCCTTCTCCTCTGGACGTTCCAGGGGGTGCGCGGAGGCATCAGATTCCTTGACGATCCAATCAAGTTGCAGACACGGTTGCATGAAAGATGGACCCGTCCCGGCCAGTTCTCACAGCCACGGGGGAGCCCATCAGACCACTCACTGCCTCGTCCTCCCCTCTGCACGCTCCCCCCCCCCCCCCCCCGCCGTGAGAGCCGGCCCCTCCCACACGCGGCCCACGCTCTCCGGGCCAGCTGGCAGCCCGCCCGTGCGCGCACCTAAATGGCGGAAGTAGTCCTCCAGCCCACTCCAGAAGTTCTTCTCGATGAAGGTTTTCCAGGGCTGCTTTCGATACCGCAGCTCTGTGGAGACCCTGAGGGAGGAGCCGGAGGCGCAGGCTCAGGTGCTTGGCGTGAGGACCGGACGCCCCATCGGTGAGCATGCACCCGCTGCGCCTGTGCACACTGGCTGTCGGGGCTGCACTCCTTCCTTCCTTCCTTCCTTCCTTCCTTCCTTCCTTCCTTCCTTCCTTCCTTCCTTCCTTCCTTCCTTCTTTCTTTCCTGCCTGCCTGCCTGCCTGCCTTCGGACACACAGCCCACACCCACACAAAGGACTGCTTTGAGGCGCAGGGGTTCCAACAGGAGCAGAGAAGGCCGCAAGCGCCGTAGCGCGGGGAGCTGGCTTCTGCGCTCTGGGAGAGACGCAGGAGACACCCCAGAGCGCGGCGAAGCACACAGGCTGCCGTTTCTAAGAGCTGAGTTTCAGCACCTGACTTTTGCCAAAGCTACTGGTGATCTGAAAAGTGGAAATAAATCCACACTGGGGAGTCGTTCTAAGACTCTTGTGTATGAGCCACAGAGAAGCACGGATGGGGGGGGGTGACGCAGGCTGTCCTGGCTGGTGCTGCGTGGTGAAGGAGAAGCACTCAGGACAGAATACCAGCCATCAAGACGGAGGCTGGAGTCCCGGCAGCCCTGAGGGAAGGCGGAGTCCACGGCCGGCCGGCGGAGGCTCTCCCTCCCCAGGAAGCGGGTGACACTAACACAGGGGCCTCTGTCTTGTCTGAACCCACCCACACCCCCTCCACCCCGGCACCTGAGTCGACTCTTGTTTCGGGCCACGCGTGTGAGCGTGTAGCGGTTGATGGTGTAGAAGTAGTCATGGTAGGGCACGTCGTGGGTGAGGACTTCGGCGTCGATCACGTAGCATTCGCTCTCCTGGCTTGCCTTGTACATGGTCTGCACATCCCGGGCCGGGGGGAGGGAGGAGGGGGAGGGGAGAGGGGGAGGGGGGGTTCAAACCCAGAGATGTAAGATGGAAAAGCATCTTTCCCAAGCACCCTGCCCCAGGACTCTGGAATGAGCCACGGAGACCGCCGGCCCACCAGCGCCTGCCCACCGGCGCCTGCCCACCGGCGCCTGCCCACCGGCGCCTGCCCACCGGGACAGCCCCCCCCCGCCTGCCCCCTGCGCCCTGTGCCCACTCCCACCTGCGTCTCCCTGACAGTGGCAGTTTTGGGAGCCAGCGGATTGGTAAGGGTGATGGTGTAGAGAACCATTCGGCTCTGGTTTCCATTCTCTTCCTTCTTCCACGGGTGGAAGATGATGTCTGAGGGTAGAGGGGTGCACTGGGGTGAGGGGAGGGGCCGGGGCTCGAGAGCCCTCATCACCTCCCTCCTCTCTGTGCAGACCAAGGAGGCCTACTGCTGGGGAGGGGGGAGCGGGGCGAAGGAGGGGAGGAGGGAGGAGGGAGGAGGGGGAAGGGGAGGAGAGGGGTGAGTCGGAGCAGAAAGAGGCTCATTGTGGCACTGCTGAAGCGGCGCTCAGGGCTCAGGGTGGAGACCGTTCGGGGGCTGGGGAGGAGGTCTCAGGCCTCCTACGGGTGCTGGCAACACTGGAGGCGCTGTGTCCAGGGCCTGAGGTCCCTCGGGAGGACGTCCTCTCCTCCAGGGCATGACCTTCCCATGTCCTCTCCCCAGGGAGTGGGGTGACTGCCTCAGCAGTGGGGGCCCTCGTGCGCTGCGGGGCGCAGGGGAAGCTGGCCACAGGGCAGCAAGGGTCCTGAGGCGGCTCTGGCCTTATGGAAGGCCTGGAGGAGGGTGTCCGGCCATCGGGAGCTCCAGGGTCACAGGAAGAGGGAGGCAAAGAAGAAGGAAAGGGAGCAGGCGTGGAGGGAGGGAGGGGGTGGGGGCAGGGAGGGCCGGCCTGGCGGGTCTGACCGGAGAAACGCCGCTGCTCCATGAAGTCCCGCAGGAAGGGCGAATTGGTGAAGAGCAGGTCATAGAGTTTGTCCACGCTGAAGTTGAAGACCTCGTTCACGTACTGGCGGCCGCTCAGGTCCTCGTAGAAGGCCTGGACCTCCCCTGCACGGAGCACAGGAGGGGGACGTGGGCAGGGCCGCGGGGGCAGCCCGCACCTGCCCGCGGCGCCGCCCACCCAAGAGCTAATGCGGCGCCACCACCAAGGCCGCCTAGGTGGGTGCTGAGACTCGGTGCTCCCTTTGAGCCTCCGGCATCCCAGTCCCTCATGACTGTGTGTGCACAGGCCCGTGTGCAACCTCAAGACCAGAGGCCCACATTTCCCGCATGCTTGGGGTTGAGAGGAGCATGGGGCAGCCTCCAGGGCCCAGGCTGGACCATCCCAGCAGATGGCAGCCCGACCTGGGCCCACTGTGGTGGCCGAGATCCCAGGCCACAGGGGTGAGAGGGCACAAGTTAGAAGGGGACACCCACGGTGGGTGACCCCAGAGTGACCGTCCACAGGTGAACCAGAGAGCTCTGCGTCTGCGCGCTAGAAAGAACCGACCAGCACTTCAGAGGAGGAGCCCAGGGACTCAGCTGGCTCTGTGAGCACCGAGCACCGGCTCCACGCCCTGGACTACAGGAGCCTCACACTTCCCGCGTGGGCCCGGGAAGGTGTCTGCTTGGGGCACTGGGAGAAGGGAAGGCTCCAACCCCTGCGACGCGCAAACCTCTCTCTTTTGCTGGTCTAGTGAACACCCCTGGCTCAAGTCACTAGTGAGTTCTGTAGCTATCCTGAGGAAGAGTCTGTTGAAGTCTGCGTTATTTCCGGGGATCTACTGAACGATGCTTTCCTTGGGACATATCAAGGTTTCCTGGCCTCCCGTGGCTGTGGGGCACAGCGCCGGACAAGCCCCTATTAACAGGAGGGGCATTTTGAGACAAGTCTGAATGGCAGGATAAGCGTTGCCGGACACGTGCAGGAAGACGGGCCTGCAGGGCTCTGGAGAGGGGCGTAGGCTAACACCAAGGTGCCCTTCAGTATACAGAGCTCCGTCACCCCTGGGGTCTGCAGATGGACCCCAGACGCGCACTGCAGGCCTTCCGGAAGGCACCCGGGGGGTCACGCTGAGCCGCCTACCTTCATCGTGGGTGTCTGAGGAATCGCTGAGCTCGGTGGGGATGTCCTCGTTGTCGTTGAAGTCCAGGGAGGGGGAGGTGACGGGCGCGAGGATCTCCATCTTCTCCCCTATGATGTTGTCCAGGGCAAGCTCCTTCTCCAGGGACCCGTCGCCCTCCAGCCCCTCCTCCTCCAGCGCCAGGCCGTCAAACTGCAGCGGAGACACGCAGTGAGGGGCCCGCCTCCCCACGGGAGATACGGGGCCTCGCCGGGACATCTCATGCTCACAGGAAACACCGTGAGACTCTGACCTCCACTGGACTACTCAGAAAAACCCGAAGTGGCGCTGTGGCTCAAGTGGTAGAGCGCTGGCCTTGAGCACAAAGAGGCTCAGGGACAGTGCCCAGGCCCTGAGTTCAAGCCCCAGGACTAGCAGAACAATAAACTTCAGAGAACTCGATACATAGTAAACAAATGGATGAACTGTTCTCTGTGCATGTGTGCGTGTGCACACACGTGTGTGTGCATGCGCACATGACAGTATGCCAGTACTGGGGCTTGAAGTCAGGACCTTAAACTTTTGTTTAGCTTTTTTCGCTCAAGGCTGGTGCTCTACCACTTGAGTCACACCTCCACTTTTGCTGGTTAACGGGAAGTAAGACTCATAGACTTTTCTGCCTATGCTGGCTCCAACCTTGATCTTCAGATCTCAGCCTCCCGAGTAGCTAGGATTACAGGCGTGAGCCACTGGCACCTGACAATAATAAAGCATTGTACAGTTCTCACGCGTGATTTTGACTTCAGACTGAGGCAACAGAAATAAAAAATAAGGGCCCAAGACCAATTTCCAAGAGAGGGGTGGATCTAGAGCAGCCAGAATCCACTTCACAGGGGACTTGGAACAGTTTCAATCTCCCACGTCAAACCACGTCACATAACCTAGCCAGCTAGAAGCCAGCGCGGGGCCCAGCACCAGATCACAGAGAACCCCAGGACTCCTGATACCTCCTTAAGGAACTGACCACAGATGCATGCACCCCCCCTGCCGGCAGCTCCCAGGCTGAGCTCCTGCGGGTATCTAAGAGCCTTGGATGCTGGGCCGGGATGGGGCCGTGGCCGCCGCTCTCACCGAGACAGGGGCCTCGCTGCTCCCTGTAGAGGTAAGCGTGCTGTTGGTGACGGACTTCTTGGGCAGCTGAGGGCTGGCATCGGGTTTGGTTTCTATGCTGCTTTTAGAGGAGCTGTCGTTCACTTCGTTCTCCTCCACGGGGATCTCCTCACAGTATCTGGAGAAGACACCGCCCCACATTAGTCTCAACGATCGAGATCGCAGACGCTTCTTAGAACTTGGGCCTGTCCATCTGAAAAGCAGGCTTCCCTGCTTCCTCTAACCAAAAAATCTACCTCCCTAAAACCTTCCCACTCACCCTACCTCGCCCCACCCAGCCCATGAAAAAGTTCCCCTTCCTGTTAGATTTATCCCTACCTATGACCTTTATTAATCTTGAACCATTTGGTCCACTGGATTCCATCCTACCCTAACTACTTGAACTGCCCTGCTAAATTCCAAACACTACCTAAGGCAGGACTCAGTGGTATCCACCAAATTCTGGGTGACAGCTAACCAACTTCTCTGCATCGTGCACACCAGAAGAAATCTCCAAGTCGGGAGTGCTTCTGTCCCTCCCCCCCCCCACACTTTATAATCATGATTGGGAGCAGCATCAGATTTGAGTGTTGTGTGTCTAGCGGCGGCACAATGGTGTGGTAAACCATTGTGTACATGGTAGAGATAACCCCATCAGTGTTGGCGAAGTCGGCAGGACACCACTAGGCCCTGCCGGCATCTCACCACGCCCAGGTCTAAGCACCACACGCTCCATTTCTTTCCTGACCTGTCCTCCTCTACCTGTCCCCCATGGCCACCTTCCCAAGCTCTCATGGTCCGTGTTGCTCCTCACCTCACTCCAGCGAGTGACACAGGGGCAATCCCTGCTCCCCTGGGCTTCCCGGTGTTCCTCCCGCCCTCCCCCTCGCTCCTGCCCTCCCCCTTGCCCCCACCCCGGGTTTGTTCCTCACCACCTCTGTGGCTACCTTCTCCTAGATTCCATGCTCTCATTTCCAGTCCTGGAATATTCTGTACCCAGGTGGCTGCAGCCAGCTCCGAGGCCCACATTTTCCTGTGACCCCCCGTACTCTCCTAAATGTTTCCTGGCCTTCTCTGACCTTCCCACTCGGCTAGCAGGTTCCCCCATCTTGATTTGGTAAAACCCACCTCCTACCTCCCCCAGAACTGTTCTGCACACACTTTTGTCCATCTCCATTTGGCACCTCTCCGTTTTTCCAAATGGCCAAGTCAGCCAACCAGCCTTAATGTCGCCTTTTGTTCCTTTCTGATCCATCAGCAAATCCAGGCCCGAACTGCTTATAGCCATTTCTGACGGTCCCCAACCTGCTCCCGACACTGTCACCCTTCATTTAGATTACCTAAATTATTCACGGCTTCTGTTCCGCTCCCTTGAGGTTATTTCCAACACAGAAGCCAGAACAGTTCTGTGACGATGTGAGCTGGACAATTTCAACCCTGCGCATCCCACTCCGGAGCACCGGCCAGTCCCGCGGGCTCAGGACCCTCACTGCTGCCCCCTCCGCCTCGTGGCCTTGCCCCCCGCCTGCTCGGCCCTCTACGGCGCTCTTCCACCGTGCCTCGCCGTCCCCTCTGGCGTCCCCCGGGCCTCCCTTACTCACGGGACAGGCCACTCTGCCCCCGGGCATGCTAGCCGCCACCCCACCCCGAGTCCCAGTCCCGGGGCCGCCCGCCTGGGCCTCGCTCACCCCATGGTGTTGAAGTCGTCGTCCGGGGGCACGTAGTCCTCGTCGTCGCTGGTCAGGCCCAGCTCATTCCCGTAGCACTGGTGGACAAAGTGCCAGAGCTCCTTGGGGCACAGGGGCTGCGGGGAGGAGACAGGCGGCCCTGAGCCTCTTCCTCGGGACCCCCCTTTGCACAGGGGCACCGCACACAGGCCCGCTTCCCGGGAGGGAGAAAGCCACGCTACCCTTTCCCGAGTGGACGTCAGGCCCTCTTTGGACCTCAGCCTCCCGAGCAGCTAGGATTTCAGGCCCCAGCCCCCGGCACCCCAGCTTGATTCTCTGTATCACCTTGCTGACAGGAGTGAAGCTCCCAGAGTAAGAAAATTCTTAGAGCCAGACGATGCATAACAAACCAAGCAATCTGTCCAAAGGCCGTACGCTCCCACGACCCTACCTTCTCCCCTCCCACCAGGTTCCTCCGCCCTGACTCCCCGAAGCCAGGGGTGATCAGACCCCAAGGCCCACTGACATTATTCACACCTGGCCACGCCCGCCCTTCCGTCCCACAGGGGCCTCTTGAACCCTCGCCCCTCGGCCTCCTCACCGGCCCACGTGGCCCAGGAGCCATGCCCTGTATTTCTGGGGATCTGCAACTATAAACCCTTTCCTGCTGGGCACTGGTGGCTCACACCTGTAATCCCATCCACTCAGGAGGCTGGAGCTGAGGATCCAGTTCAAAGCCAGAGTGGCAGGAAAGTCTACGGGATTCTTCTCTCTAAGCACCAAGAAGGCCACATGTGGAGCTGTGGCTCAAGTAGCAGAGCTCTAGCCTTGAGCACATACACTCAGGGACAGCACCCAGGCCCTGAGTTCAAGCCCAAGGACCAGCACAGAACCACCACCACCACCCTTTCCTCTCATGACAGTTGTTTCTTTTCCACAGCAGTCATTCCTGGGGCTGCATGTTTTGCCACGTTGGGTTGGCACATTTGAACACTGTGGGGTCGGAGGCTTTCCTTGGCAGGCTGAGGCTGCGCTCTGGGCCATGACCTCCCTCCAGGACTGCCAGACATCCGCACCCCGAGGGCATGGGGCTCCCTGGAGCTGGCCATTCACACCCCAAGGGCGTGGGGCTCACCACGAGGGCGTGGGGCTCCCCTGGAGCTGGCTGAAGGCAGGGGCGGGGCAGCACTTACCTTTTCAAGGAGCGCATTCTGCCAGAGCCGGAACATCATCATGTACGTCCGATCCCGGGCTCCAAACGAAGTGAAAAAGTGCTAGGTTGGAAAAGAAAACCCTAAGAAACACGTGTTCAGATTTATAATAGCCTGGGGGGTGGGGGGGGGGGCTGGTCTGCGGCTGGCGGAATTGCTCTGTCCTGGTGAGTGTGCGTTCGGAGTCAATCCTCCCCCCCCCCCCCCAAAGGCTGCCCATGCAGCAAGCCGCAGCATGCTCCCCTTGATGTGACTTCATCCGAAAATGCGGCGGGGTCCCGCTACACGAGATCACAGCGCCCGCAGCCAGTGCCGGGCAGCGGCTGGGCCCGGGAGCCTGGGGTCTCCATCCTCACCGCAACCCCACGCCCAGCTTGTTTTAAAAATTTAATTTACATTTTCTTATTTTTTTGGGTCTGGTTGTGGGGCCTGAACTCTGGGCCTGGGCACTGTCCTCAGCTCTTCAGCTCAAGGCTAGCACTCTACCACTTGAGCCACAGCACCACTTCTGGCTTTTTTCTTTTTGCTTATGTGGTGCTGAGGAATCGAACCCAGGGCCTCATGCATGCAAGGCAAGCGCTCTACCACTGAGCCACCTTCCCAGCCCCTTAATTAACATTTTCTTCAGTGTTTTTCTCTCTGGTTTGACAATGTCCCTCCCATAAAAAAGAAAATAAAATTCCTCATCTACAACTGGAACCTAGTCAGGGGAGAGCTTGGAAAGTCAGCTGAGAGGAAAGGCAAACCCCGCCCCACCGACCGTTCTAATCCCCCAGGCTCTCTGGCTGCGCGCCTGTATGTGAACGCGCCTGTACATGCACGCGCCTGCGCTGGCTCTGCTGTGTGTGTTGAGGGAACGGCACAGCACTGACCGGAACAAGGCCTGGTCTGCGCGGCCAGAGGGACCGGCGGGCTGGGGCGTAACATTCAGGAGGAAGGACAGAGTGCTGCATTTCACTGAGCATCTGCTCAGTGCTTCACAAGCGATATTTCATGTAAAACCATACAGAGGGGCTGGAGATGTGGCTCAAGCGGCAGAGTACCTGCCTTATAAGTGAGCACTAAACTGAGAGAGAGAGAGAATAAAAAAATCCACACAAAGCCTTATGTGAAGAGCAGGGGTTGATAGCTAACAAGCTAGACGATGCAGGCAATGACAACACCTGCCCAGGCCGGACAGAGAATGGGGACTAAAGCCTGTCTGACCCTAGAACCTAGACTCTCACAGTTCTAAGCACCCCACTACCCAAATGCACAGGAGCGAGAGACCCGGGCCCAGGAGATGCCCCTGCCGGTGGCCTGCTAGCTCTCAGCTCTGCTTCAGGCTCAAGATCACTGAGTTCCCTCCTCTAAACTTTTATCTCCCGCCTTCCCTCCACAGGCACGAGCGCAATCCATCTCTAATCAGACGCGTCATCCGCCGTGTCGACGGGGACAGCGATGGCTTCTCTTTCTGCAGTGTTTTCATGGGGCATCGTTTCTAGACTCTAAATAAGGACGGCTAGGCCTGTTTTAGATTCTAGAAACCTGAGGTGCAGAGAGGTCACTCAACACGCCTCCACGCACAGGACTGGATCCAAGTCCAGCGTTACGCATGCCTCCCCGGCAGCTCGCCCCAACCCCACAGAGCCCGCATCTGCATCGTTTCCTGCGTCTCATTCCAGCCCACTTAGCAGCGGGCTGGATTAATGCAGTTTAGGGCTGAAACGCAGAAGAATGTGTGAGGAGGGCGGGTAGGTCCCAAAGGCCAGAATTTGACTCTGTTTACCTTTTCTGAATCTGTGCAGACTTGGATGGCATTGGGAATGAGGCGGGCTGTCTTCTCTTTCGTCATGGAGCAGACGTCTTTCAAACGGACTGTCAGCTGGCATCCCCACAGACACAGAGAGTAGAGACTGAGCAAGAGGGGCACTGGCAGTCGGGAGACGTGTCTGCTGGGCCCCCAGGTGAGAGAGGAAATCCCGCCACAGCGCACGGATCTCATTCCTGGCGGGGGCCCACGATTATTCCCTTTGGTCAGGCGGCTCTGTAGGAACTGGGCCGCACGGCGGCCATGGGAGCCTGGGCTCTGGGCTTAGGAAGCGTTTGTCACTCTCACTTCTGCAGTTTGCTAAATGTTCAGAGAAGCTGCCATTGGGAGCCAGGTACTGGAGACTGCTGGCGCTTACAGTCCCAGCGACTCAAGGTTCACAGTTCAAAGCCAGCCCAGGCAGAAAAGTCCATGGGACTCTCATCTCTCATTCACTGCCAATAACCAGAAGCAGAAGTGTGGCTCAAGTGGTAGAACACAGCCTTGAACAACAACAAAAAGGCTAAGAGACAGTGCCCAGGCCCTGAGTTCAAACCCCAGTACTGGCACAAAAAATAAAATAAATAAAAACAATAACCTAGTTAGTGGTCTGTATCTTATTTTATAAGATGAGGACTATATGGACTATAAAGAAAGACTAGCATAAATTCACAATGAATTAGCTTTCAAAAGCACACAAGCCAGTTCTGGGCTCCAAGGCCAAAGCCCTTCCTACTTTACTGTATCTTCCTGAGTAGCAACTTATGCCAAATAATTTCCTGCATTTGCCAGAAGCAAATGCTCTTCATACCCTCTTCCACACCCAAGAGGTGGGAGGAAAATGTGTGAAAGAGGAGATAGCTTCACTGGAACTCGGAATTGGGCACTCTTCAAGACTCAGGCATGTGCTGGCATGAACTGGGCAAATGACAGGGAGAAAATTCAGTTAGCTCAGGAAGAGACTGGGGGCAGCCTTGTGTAGCCACGGCCAAGGAGAGAGCCCAAGGGAGCGAGTCCCAAGTCTTTTTATTTCTTCTTCTGTGCCAGTACTGGGGCTTGAACTCAAAACCTGAGCATTGAGCCTTGGGTGTTCATTTTTGTTGTTGTTGTTGTTTTTGTCCAAGGATGGTGCTCTACCACTTGAGCCACACCCGTACTTCTTCTGGCTTTTCTGGTTAATTAGAGATAAGAGTCTCATGGATGTTCCTCCTGGGCTGTCTTTGAACCACGATCCTTGGATCTCAGCTTTCTAAGTATCTAGGATGACAGGCGTGAGCCCCCAGAGCCCAACTCCCAGGTCTTCAGATTTTTTCTTCTCCTTTCTTTTTTCTTACTTTTAAGTAGCACTGGGGAATGAACCAAGAATGGCTTTAGCACACGAGGCTAAAGCTTGACCCCCGAACTACACCTCTGCCAGGGTCCCGGGTGTTTACCAGAGTTTCCCAGCGGAAGATGTTGCTGTAGAAGCAGATCCAGTTTTCGGAGAGGTAGAGTCGGCCCTGGAGAAGGATGTCTCTTTGGAGTGCGCACGAGTAGTCTGTCAGGGAACAGGATGGGCGCTCAGCGGTGCGGAGCATGCAGCCACCCTCCACTAGGCCCAGGGGAGCTCAATCACCTGCCGATGCAGCCACCTTCCCACTAGGCCCAGGGGAGCTCAATCACCTGCCCATGACCAGGTCTGCCAGATCCTTGAACCAAGGAAGTCTCTGGCACCTCAAGTCAGGGCACACACAGATGGTGAAAGGCCAGTGGGGCTTGCCAATCCCTTTTCCATCTGCACATGTGCCTGTGACTCCCTCTGGGCGGGTACCGGAAGCTACTGTGAGTGCCCTGAACCAGGTGCACTGGGGTCGGTCCTCCGCTCAGGGTACAATCGCGGGCTCCAGGCGCACGTGCTCACTTGGGCTGGCTCCACACAGAAGCAGCCTGAGCAACTTCCTGCCTGACCCCTCCCAGGCCGCCAGCTCACCGACAATGAGGCGCTCCGTGTCTGGAAGTTGCTTAAAGAGCTTTCGGAAGTCTTCATTTCTCTGCTTGTAAGTGGGGCTTAATACCTGCATGACAAGGGCCAAAGCGGGATTAGCCAGATGCTCAAGGAGGACTAGAGAGCCAGGCTGCAGGCCCGGGAGAAGGCCAGGCAGGCTCTGCTACCCCAGAGGCCCTGGAGGCTCGGGCAGCAAAGCAGGCCTTGGGATGGAAAACCAATGCAGAGAAGCAGTTTCTGCAGACTCTGTATCCAACACTCATCACTCACAAAACATGAAGGCAGGGCCTTCGAGGGTCCCTGGGCGGGAAGGAGGGCCACTGTCAGGGCCTCCTGGGACATCCTATGCCAGCCACAGGTCCCTGGGCAGTGAAGCAGGGCCCAGGGACAGCGGCCAGTGTCTCAGACGTCAGCAGGACTGACACAGTGAACTCTTCGCTATGTGATTTTATTTTAAAGCATGGCACTAAAAAAAAAAATCGTAAGGCCAGTACTAGGAAAGGCATGAGTCAAGAGTTTCAAGGGTTTAGGATCAGGGTCTGGGCAAGGCTGGCAGGCACCACGTCTAGCCACAAAGGTGCCAAGAAGACGTTCCTGAAATAGCCAAGAAGCAGACGAGGAGACAGATGAGGAAGGTAAGGGGCCAAGCAGAGACAGCAAAGAGGAAAACCAAGTAAGAGCCAGGGAAGGCCGCAGGAAGGGACCCCTGGCCACAGGTGGAACTGAGAAGTCTGGCTAAAAATAAGCTGTTCCTGCGAGCCCTGATTCCATTCCCACCGTCATCTGGACCTCGTGCACTGTACAGGTAGCGTGACGCTTGGTCTAGGAGTCTGCGTACAGTAACAACCTCCTTCTAAAAAATCATTGTCTCTAGTTCATTGTCTCTAGTCTGCCAGCCATTCCCACCTCAGCTGTGCAACAAAGGGAGCCCAGCCTCGATTCCTGTAGAGCCTGCTCTTTGCTCTAGTCTGAGTTCTGTATCATCTTCAATTGAACTAACTCATATAAAAAGTGGGGGTGGGAAGATGCCAGGCGCAGGTGGCTCACGCCTGTCATCCTAGCTACTCGGAAGGCTGAGATCTGAGGATCGTGGTTCGAAGCCAGCCCAGGCAGAAGTCCTGTGAGACACTCAGCCTCAATTAACCACTCAAAAGATGAAAGGGGCGCTGTGGCTCAAGTGGTAGAATGCTAGCTAGCCTTGAACACAAAGAGGCTCAGGGACAGCGCCCAGGCTCAGGTGAGTTTAAGCCTCACCACCAACAAAAACAAACAAAAACAGGAAGAAGGAGAAATTAGAAGCACACCCAACATTCAAGGGGCACAGTGTCCCTCCCCGTCCTGGTAGATGAACTCCTAATCCCGAGGGAAGCCGGCAGTCAATGTCTTAGCACTGCTGGTGGGGGCATCCTTCAAGGTAAGGCCCCTTTACCCACAAGCCCTGGGACTCAAAGCGAGGATCTTTTGCTCACAGACATAGGGGGCCAGGGAAGAAACAGGAGCTTGGGTGGGAAAAACCAGTTACAGAGAATCTGACCCTGTGATGCGCTGTGGGGCTCTCGCTGGCCGGCCTGGAGCTCACGGTCCCAGGGCCTTGGGAGCAGCTCAGCCCCACAGACCAACAACTGGGAAGAAGCCAGCCCAATGGACCGAAGCAACCCCGCGTTTACAGAGCTCACAATCTTTAAAGTAGATGCTCTCTCTCTCTCTCTCTCTCTCTCTCTCTCTCTCTCTCTCTCCCTCCCTCCCTCCCCCCCTCAACAAAAACCGCTATGGAAGCACAGATGACGGACCGAGGAGGCTGCACCGGGCCACAGACAGCCGCGCTCCACCAGCCTCGACTGGCTCCTGCAGACCCGAGCCGCCGAGCAGGGGCTGGGAGCCCACGCCCAAGCAGAGTGTCCTGCTGGTATGACACCCACTTCCCTGGAAATCCACAGGCATACAGCTGTCATGAGGAAAGACTGACCCCCGTACCCCAACTTTTCATTTGGGGCTTCTTAACAAGCGGGGTGGCTTATGGGGAATCGGACGCCAGTTGTGAATCTGTATCGCGCAAAGCCCAAGCCGTGCTTGCGTGGCTTTAGTTTGGGGAGGTTTCCCACGGGAGAGGGAAGGTTGGGTGGAGAAGGGGAGCAGAGAGGGAAAAGGGAAACTGCCGGGAGGTGGGGGGGGAGCGGGAGGGGAGAGATGGCAGAAGGCTGTCGGTCACTTGGTCTGTAATGAATTTGAATGCCTAGCATTTCTTCTTGCTAGCAGGTGCCAAGCTGCCTTGTCCAGAACACTGCTGTGCCACCCTGTGCCCCCCAGAGTCCCGAAACCACCCGCCAAGTACTTGAACCAGGCATCAAGTCCCCTGGGGGTGGACGTCCTCAAGGTCATGACCTCTACGACTAGGAAAACCCTTGGCTGCAACAATCCCCGGTCCTGAGACAGCCAATCCGCCCGGCCCCTAGCCCACACATCAGAAGCCCGTGCTTGGCCCCCTGGCCCACACATCAGAGGCCCGTGCTTGGCCCCTGGCCACAGTGTCCTCCACACTCGGCTTCTTCACCCCGAGCGGCTGTTAGCCGAGCACACAGTGAGCTATCACGGCCCGGGCCTGCCCCGTGCATCCCTTCATCTAATGACGGAAGGGCTTCCAAAATCCTGCTTCACACTGGAGGAAACTGAGTCACAGATAGGTCGAGCAACTTGCCCAAGGGGCGGGGTTACTAAATGGGAGTGCACAGGAGATGTGTCCGCGAGCTGGAAGTAGCAGAGATGCCGGAAAGATCTCTCCGTCTGTCTGTCTGTCTGTCTCCCTGTCTCACTCTGATGTTCACCTACTCTGGGGCTCCCATGGCCTCCAGCCTCCTCGTTGGTGTTCATAAAGTTGCAACCCTGGTCTGAGAAGCGCCTGCAGGGTGGCCTCAGCCCCTGCGGACACACAGACACCACGCACCTCCTGCTTCTGATTCTCCCTCCACATCTGCCCGTCCTCTCCTCTGTGCAGCTCCGCTGTCCACCGGGATGGAGGTGCGGAGTCTGGCCACAGTCCCCGCAAGGCCCTTCCTCTGCCTGTGGCAGGCACGACGAGCCTTGTGGAAGGCACGCCGCCTCTCCGGGTCCCCAGGCCCCGGACCCCAGGTCTGCAGGAAGGGCCCTAATCCTACCAATGGGCCCTGAAGATGGCAGATTGACATCGCCGCACTGCAGCATAAAGCACAGAGACGCCCCCTCTCCCTCCCTCCCCCCTACCGACCATCAAAGCAGTCTCCTCCTGTTGGAAATGGCCAGGGAATTCCCACTCCAGGGCTGTCAAATCTGGAGCCAAGCAGGGCACGCCAGGGCACCCAGAAGGGCCGTGGGGACACAGAGGCACGGGGTCACACACTCACAGCGGGGAGCTCCTCAGATCCGTGCCAGCAGCAGTGCTCGGCAGCAGCGAGCTCGCGGGCAAACATCTTCACGTGCCATCGGAGACACCAGCCGTCCTGCTCCGGCAGGAGGCTCCACAGGACCCCGGACTCCACCAGGGACTCCATGGCCCCCAGTCACGCCCCTCCCTCTGCGCGCTCCCTACTGTCCCCCCGGGGCCCAAGCGGCGGGCTGCATTGGGCTGAAGGAAGAGGGGCGATCTCGGGCTCCTGCTTCTTCCTCGGTGCCAGGCCTCATGAACGAGATGCGCGAGGTTCTGTCTGTTTTATCTGTCCTGCCAGTCTTCAGGCTGGGGCCCCGAGAGGGGTGTGGCTCAGCGCCTCCTCCTCCTCCTCCTCCCCAGTGCAGACCGGCACCAGCACCCGTCACCCCTGGCCTCGGAGGCCAGAAGAGGCAGATGCAGGGAGCCTTGGAAGGGGGACCCCAGCGGGCTGGCCGGTGCTACAGGACAGTATGGCCTGCAGCGTGACGCAGGGCCTTCTGCCAGGTGCGCAGGAGAGATCGGAGCTCCCTGGTCCTTGCTGCCTGGTAGGTAGAGTGGCACATTTGAATAACCCGTCTCCCCACCAGGCCGCCAGCCCGGGTCCCACGCCCGCCCAGCCCTGTCCTGTCCCCGGCAGAGCCGCAGCTCTGGGCCGGCTCTCCTCCCACCCCCTGCACACGCCCCTTTCCCCTCCAGACCCGTTCCTTTCAGCAAACAACTCCTTTGTTAAGAGCCGCTGGGGCAGGAGGGAGGCCTGGCCATAGCCCGCACATGCTTCGAGTTACAGGATCTGTGCGATGGGCCCGGCCAACGTCCTACAGTAACCCCTAGCCTAGCCCCGCCGAGCCAGCAGATGTTTCCTGCAATGGAAAGTTGCTGGCCACAGTTCCAAGTGGGGGGGAGGGAGGGGTGGTGCCAAGGGCACCGCGGTGATGATGAAATCTGAAATTTGAGACTCAAAGAGCCAGGGACGTCTTGAGACATGCTCTCCCCCTCGCTGACCCATCTCCAGCGGCAAACCAGCAGGCTGGGCGCTGCACCGCCGAGCGGCTCTCGGGGAGAAGCTGAGGTCAATGGCCTTGGGGTCTGTCTGAGGCACCTCTTTCCTCTCCCAGGATGCTGTCCTCCCTCAGCGCCACTAAGACGGGGGGTCAGCTGCTCAGACCTGGGGGGCAAAGGAACAATGCCCAGGAGACAGGAGAGTCTTCAGTGTGTCTATGGTGAAGTCTCAGCACCATGGTGCAATACCACTCAAATGACAGCATAATGACCTGGCGAACACATTAAAGAACAGAGTCTCGCGGGGCCTCGGTGGCTCACGCCTGTCATCCTAGCTACTGAAGAGGCTGAGGTCTGAGGACCGTGGTTCAAAGCCAGCCCAGGCAGGGAAGTCCGTGAGACTCTTTATCTCCAATGAACCACCAGCAAACTGGAAGTGGTGCTGTGGCTCAAGTGTGCTAGCCTTGAGCTGAAGAGCGCAGGGACAGCGCCCAGGCCCAGAGTTCAAGTGCCGGGACCAACATAAAAAAAAAAAAAAGAAAGAAAGAAAAAAAGAATAGATTGCTGGGCCCCAACCCAAAGATACTAGTTGGGAGGAATGTGGGATCTCCAGGTATCATTGTTGGCAATGTAGGAGAGTCTGACTCCTGCACAGGAGATTCTCCCCACCCTCTCCCTACTCTGTCCTCTGACCCTGGGGTCAGCCCCTGCCTGGCTGCGGTGCGTCCTTCCACGTGACCTGCTCTTGACCCCCACCCCGGAACCATCCATGCCTCTAACAGTTTCCTGTCTCCTACAGCAGTTAGCATGACGCATTTCAAATATCAGGAGCTCAGAAATTATTCACCAAATCAATACATTCCTCACAGGCCTCTGCGAGTATTCCGGCCGGCGCGGACTCCGCCGTACCCAGGCGGAGAGGAGCTCCCTGCCCTGCAGGCCTTGCCTCCCCCTCCTGCCTGCCTCCTCCCCAGCACACTCTGCTGCACCCAGGCTCAGCACCGGGCGCCAGGCGTTGGACTGCAATTCCCCGGAACCACTGATAGAGGCCACATAAAAAGATGACTGTGTGGGCGAGATGGAGCAGGATCTGCCCAGAGAGATAAGAGGCGGAGATGAGTCCCAGTCTGCATCAGCCTTTGTCTCCCTCTACCCCGCTTCACGGGCTGGGCAGGGCAGGGACAGACACTGAGCCAAGGGAATTGGCCCTGGCCTAAACATTAACTCGAAGGCAAATATCAGGAGCGGGGACCAAGTGGTACCCCCTCCCTGGGCTCAGCAGGAACGAGAAGGAGGGGGAACTCAGGAGGGGAAAAATGTATCAGAGTATAGCATTAACCTCACCTAGGAGGAAATCAGTTAAGATCCACAAAGGACATCCGGTGGCCGGAGCCAGGTGTGGGGCAAGGGGGCAGGAGGTGGTGAGGCGCCCGCCATGTGGAAGCAGCAGCTCCAGGGCAGGGAAGGAGCCGGGCGCCAGTGGCTCACGCCTGTCACCCTAGCTACTCAGGAGGCTGAGATCTGAGGATCACGGTTCAAAGCCAGCCGGGGCAGAAAAGTCCGTGAGACTCTTATCTCCAATAAACCATCAGAAAACTGGAAGTGGCGCTGTGGCTCAAGCGGTAGAGCGCTCGCCTTGAGCTGAAGAGCTGAGGGACAGCGTCCAGGTCCCACGACCACCACCACCACCATCAACAAAAAGGGTAGGGAAGGGTGTGTCATCAGAAGAGATGAGATCACACCAGGGAGATGATGGATGGAGGGTCTTCAGGGTCACGGGTGCACCACAAAAGGAGGTAGTAGATGAGGGCCAGAGAGGCAGTCCTTCAGAAAATGCCAGGCTGGGGGCTTGTCCCCGCCCCCCCCCCCCACCCATGACACATGGGGTTTGAGCCTACAAAGCTCGGACCCTCCTTCTCATACTTATCCCTGCCAGGTTTGCTGGGTTGTCCACAGGACGAGCACTACTGGTGCTATGCACCCCCACAAAGCCAGTGTTCCTAGTGGGCACGGGCGTCGGGCAGCCGGTGCCAGGCGGCACTCCAGGAAAGAAGCAAGGTAGAGAAGCGTGCATCCGCCACCTCCCCACGAGGCCCACAAGGGTTCACATCCAGGCCAGAATTTATTTCTCTTGCTCTGACACCGTCTGGTGACCAAAGGAAAGCCCCTCTCTGCCCATCTCTCCATCTTCCGTCTACCGGGGTCTGCTCCCCCACGTTCATTCCTTTCTGCTTCCTGGAGGTTTTTTTTTGGTGGGGGGGTCAGGGGCAGTTTTCGGGGAGTGTGATGTGCGAAGGACCGGCGAGGCTCTCCGGGCGGGTTCTGGGGCCTGCCGCAGCCTCGCCCATCCTCCAGCCAAGGTGTCTCCGCTGCAGTCCAAGAAGCCACATCGTGGGCAGGGGGCCGGGGAGGTGAGGAGGCCGAGGGAGAATCAATGGGAAAGGGAAAGCTAGTCGAAGATGGAATGAGAGACTGGAGAAGATGGAGGGAGAGGGAGAGGAAGGACGGACAGGGCTAGAGGTCTTAATGCCTAAGAGGGCCGTGGTCAGGCACTTCCCTCTCAAAAGGGACCATGGAGTTCTGAAACCGCCAGCCCGAGGCAGCTGCCAGGAAGAACAGCCAGGCCTTCTCCCCTCCCCTCCCCTCCTCTCCCCTCCCCTCCCCTCCCCGCAGAGCGCTTCTCCTCCCCCCTCCTCCATTACCAGCTCTGAGCAGCCTGGGGAGGACACAGGTTAAGTGGGAGGTGAAAGGGAGGAGCGGAGCAGCCATGAGGGGGAGGGGTCCAGCACCCAGTCCATCCCAGTCCTCAGCTTCCTCCTATCAGAATGGCCCGGAGGGGTGGGTAGGTGGGGCTACGGCTGACATACCAATCAAGAGCACCCAGGATGGGCAGGGGTTGATGGGAAGCCACGGAGCTGGTTGGTCTGTGCTTGGTATGAGGGAAGGGCTGGACATCTCACACACGGCCCCTCCCTCGACTCCCTCCAGCTGTCATTCACAGCCACATTCTCCTGTCTACCATTCCCCAGTGGCTCCTCCCTGCGCAGAGCCCCTCTCCAGCAGGACTTGGGCTAAGAAGAGAGACGGAGATGGCATTCTGCAACATCATGCACGAAGACCCAGACGCAGGCTCAGAGAAGGGGCAGAGTCTGAAGCCATCGGCAGCTCCCCCCGGGCAGTCCCGGAGGACAGAGAACACAGCCAGGCCTGCTAAGAGGCTCCATTCAGCTGCTCTCCAGGGCAAGAGTTCAAAGGCCCCAGCTTTGACGCTGTAGTCAGGGGACCTGGCCCTGCAGGGCTGTCTGTGCGGACCAGGCAGGTGACCTAGAGATGGCGTGGCTACACCCTCACCACAGACCTCAGGGCGGCCACGTCTTGTGACAGGAGAGGGCTCTGGGGGCCCCTGCGAAGGTGCCAGGGCACAAGCCAAACTCCACTCCATGGGAGGGTCCTCAGCTCAAGATGATCCCCAACAGTCTGTGCCAAGGGATGAGGTCTTCACGCCCTAAGGCTACCCCAGTCCCAGCACCCTGTCTGCCTGCTCCCGCATCGAAAACAAGAGCGGCCTTGTGCGCGAGTGTCAGTGAGGCAGGGGACAGGGCAGGGGGCAGGGGGCAGGGGGCAGGGGGCAGGGCAGGGGACAGGGGACAGGGGGCAGGGGGCAGGGGGCAGGGGGGCAAGGCAGGGGACAGTGGGCAGGGGGCAGGGGGGCAAGGCAGGGGACAGGGGGCAGGGGGCAGGGGGCAGGGGGGCAAGGCAGGGGGCAGGGCAGGGGGCAGGGGGCAGGGGGGCAAGGCAGGGGACAGGGGGCAGGGCAGGGGGCAGGGCAGGGGGTAGGGGGCAGGGCAGGGGGCAGAGGGGAGGGGGCAGGGCAGGGGGCAGGGCAGGGGGCAGAGGGCAGGGGGCAGGGCAGGGGGCAGGGCAGGGGACAGGGGGCAGGGGGCAGGGCGGGACATCCTTCCTGACCAGGCCTTTCCCTTCCCAGCTACAGAGAACAATTACTGCATCTGGTTTGGGGACAGAGGAAGCTGGTAAGGGGAAGCACTCATGAAGAAGCAAGAACTGAGCCCCACATCGCCCCTCCTCATTCTCCCCCCCACTCCCCACCCACCCAACAAGGAGAGAAACAGGAATACTTACATTGTACCAGCTCTGGCTTTTCTGAAAAGACAAACATAAAAGAAGGCAAAATTAGTCAGGGCAGAGCGGCCCGAGGAGACACAGGGGAGGACTGGCAGGAGGAGCCCCGCGCGGTCCCCTGCTCCCGGGGGCTGCTCACGAGCGTCCTTTCTAAGACAGCTGCAGAAAGGAGACCTGGGCGCAGCTCATGCTGGACGGGCCCGTGGCCGGGGGGGTGGGGTGGGGTGGGGGGCAGGCAGCGGCAGCACCAGCGAGAGCGCGGCTGGAAGGGAGACGGAGCCCCATCACGAGGTTCTGTGGATGGGGGCTCAGGATGCGGGGAGCGCATCCAGGACCCGGGGCCCGACGAGGCCCTGCCCCGAAGCGGAGGACGGAGGAGGCCAGCCCGGCAGGTGGGCAGCCCTGTGGAAGGCAGCGTGGACAGGGCGGCGGCGGGGACAGCACAGGGGACTTCTCTGCCAAAGTGCTCTCAGCTCGTGGGGTGAGTGAGTTCCTTCTTCTGATCCCCTAAGCACTAGCGGGACAGATTCTGGGGGAGGCGGGCGGGAGCCTTTGCTAAGGGGCCTCCCCAGCCCCGGGGAGGGTTGTGCAGCCAGCCCCCCCCAAGACTGGAAGGGAGCAGGTTCCCTGGAGAAGGGCCCGGAGGCCGAGCTGGTGCCTTGTCCGCGTCCAGCCCCCGACGGCTGTCCCTATACCCGGCATTCACTAGGACGGTAGGGGTCCCCGCACAGGTCAGCAGCCTTGACCACAGCCAGAGGCGTGGGCCTGTGCGCCATGGCGCCCTTCCCGGGCAGGGAAGCCAGCTCGAAGGCCGGACGGGCAGCCGGCCCTCGGTGCGCTCTGCGCGCGCCTGGCGGGATATGGGTGACTGAGCACCGGGCCTGGGGTCCACCTCCCCTCACCTGCCTTCCTTCCCACCGCACGACCTCTGCAGACACTCGACCCCTCGCTTTGCAGGTGACGCGAGGGACCAACGCGCTGCCTCGGGGAGAGTCCTCCCCCCCCCAGCTCCCACCTCAGCCGCCAGACGTGGCCAGGATGACAGATGGCCCTCCAGCCCCCTCCTTGAAAGGGGGCTCATGGTAATTCCCCCAAAGCCGTCTCTCCACGGACTAATCCGGAAGTCACACTCCCCTGACACAGCGCTGTCCCTCCTCTGGACAGCCCAGCCCCCCGGGGCCGCGGTGCTGCTGGGCAGGGAGCCGGGTTGGGAGGCCCGGGGCCGCGGCCGGCGCTGGAGGCGCGGACAGGCCGCTCTGAGCCTGGGACGGCCGCTGCCCGCGGTTCCCTTGAGCTCCTGAAAGCCCGCACCAGGGCGGCAGCCATCTGTTCCACAGCGGAGGCTACTGTCCGGTCCCTGTGGTGGCCTTCAGGCCCCGGGGCGGGGGGGGAGGGCACGGGGTAGGATCTCCCTCCCCGCACGGGCGGTCCCTGTCCACGCACTGGCACCAAGCACTCATCCCTTAGAAATCTATTTGGGGCAAAGAACGTCAGGGTCATCACGAGCCTGACCGAAGGCCCGGTGCGCCCCTCAGGAAATGGCCCCGCAGTAGTGTGGGTAGTAGCACCCACTACTTGCTCTTCTGTAAAGGCGGGGCAGAGCACGCGCGCGCGCAAGCCCTCATGAGAAACGCAAAAGGCAGCGGCTAGAACGCAGCTTTGTGGGGCTCGGTGGCCCCTGAGCGGCTAGCCCCGGCCGGCTTCCCATCCCCTCCCTCCCGGCGGGCGCGCCTCCCGCACCCAGGGCCCCTTGCTCCCCCCCCCAAATCTCCACCCCCTCCTGGACCATCCCTCAGGGACGAGTCTCTTGGGATCATCCCCCCTCCCGCCCCCCATGCCCTCCTGAGCTGAGTCCTGGAAGAAAGTTAGAGAGGCTGCAGGCGGGGGAGAGGCCGCCACGCTGGTGAGGCCGCCCCGGAGCTCTGCCCGGAGCACAGAGACACGAGGGAACCAAGGAGAGAGCCAGGGGCTGGGGCACGGGCTGGAGAGCTCCATCTACAGATCTGGCTAAAGAGGGGAGGGGCGGGCCCAGAGACACGGCTTCAGAAGAGAAAGTGAGCGGGGCTCATTTCTGGCTTCCGTGAGCCTTGGCTACAGGGGCGGACCCCGAGGACCGGAGCAGGGTCCGGCCCTGGAAACACTCCCAAGTCACCTTGGGAAAGTTTCCTGCCCCCACGTCCAAAGGCATCTCCCAGGGCAAAGGACAAGGCAGCCGGGAGGTGGGCACGGGAGGGGGGGTGCTACACACTGGACTTGTCGCTAGGGGTGCGGGGGGACAAAACCAACTTCTTACTTTGATCAGGTTAAGTCTGTCATACTGAAAAGAAAACCACAAAAATTAGAATGCAAACAAAAAACAAAAACGGAGAATACTAGCGTGATGACACTGGGTCATTAAAGCCAAGCCCCCAGAGAGAGGGGGGCTGAGGCCCAAGCGGAGGACTGGCCGGCCTCCCCCCGCCCCCCCAGGCTTGCTCTCCGGAGGCGCTGGCAACAGGGGTGGCTTGGCTCCCTCTGGTGGCCACAAGCAATCATTGCTGGGTGGGAGCTGATGGTGGGGCAGAGCGCAGCTGCTGGGAATGGGACCCATCTTCCCATCCAGCCCACGGGAGGCAGAAACAAGGATCAGACTCAACAGCGCGTTGAAACAAGACTGGGCCCAGCCAGGCCTTCCCCGTGTCACACCAGAAGAAATGGAGGCCAGGGAGGGCAAAGGAGGCATTTTCTAGCTTGCCTGAAAAACACCTCAAGGTGTGGCCTCCTCTGGGGAGGACGGGAAACAGGGCCCAAGATGGCCCAGCAGCCACCAGAGCGGTGGGACCTCAGATCCCCTGCCCTGCACACGCCGGTCAGCTCCAACTCCTCCGAGACGGCCTATGGCCACCGAGGCCTCCTCTGCCCCGGTCTGCACAGGGCGGTCTCCTGCTGGAACTCCCACCGCCTTCTGTAGCCTGCGCCTGCATGCCAGGAAGACCACAGCCCTCCAGCCCACCCGTGTGGACAGAGCACCGAGGGCTGGGGCTGAGGGCTCAGAGGTGGCCTGTCTGCTGAAGATGGCCCTGCCCAGACCCCGGGCCTCTCGGGGTGACGAAGTCCAGGTGCCGAATCACCTGACCTCAACTGCCAAGAGGGAGCCCACACCAGCTTCCACGCAGTCAGCGTTGGGCGTGTTCCCAAGACCCTGGGTCTGCCCCGCGGCCTGAGCCACAGACACGTCGCCCTCCTCAGCACCCACCTCAGCCTCTCCACAGGTCCACTCTGAGCTGCAGACGCTCGGGACAACTTTGTCTACCCCTCCTAGGCCACACCGGGCAATTCTGTCTGCACCTCCTAGATGCTACCATCTATACCACCTAGACCACCCTGGGTCCATCCCCTAAGCTGCAGTCTCCACTACAATCAAGACTCCAAGACGTCAGTGTCTCCCTCTCCTAGATCCACCATCTTCAGCCCACACCATGTCAGCCTCCTAGGCTCCACACTGCCTACAGCTCCTGGATTTGGGGGAGAGTGGACCTCCTCCATTAGAGGAGGAAGCACAAACAACAATAATAATAATAATGGCACTGCTGCTTCTTCCCACCATGCCCTGAGTTCCCACTTACCAATAAAAAAGCCCCGGGACGGTGCACACACCAGCCCTCGGCCGTGGGCACGACTTGGGAGGAGCCCCGCGCTGCAGAGCCCACCCTGGCAGAGGATGCCGCTGGGCCCACTGGACCCTTCTCCAGGGAAGGCCTGCATCACAGTCTCCCTTTCGCTCGCCAATGAAGCTGCTCGGTCTGCTTTGAACACTCCCCACCCTCTGTTCTTTCATCCGTGGAGAAGGGACCCCTCCTCCTAGGTGGTTCCGGATTCTACACCTTCCAGACCCCGCTGTCTGCACCCCACGTGGCCCCTGTCCACGCCTGCACTCTGCATCTTGGCACCTGGTTCCCGACATGACCCGCCATTTCAGAGCTTAACACGAGTCCTTATCACTGGACACTCCCTGCTCCAACCCATGGCCAGATCCAAACACTCCCAGCGCTGGCCACGCCCCGCTCCGTGTGTTCTTCTCACAAATGTGGGAGCAGAGAGAAGGAGCCCCCGGTGCCCACCTGGTGTGGGTCATCCAGCCCTCCCTCCCACCAGCCAGGCCTACAACACCTCAAGGCCCCATCGACGAGAGCAGGGACGGGCGCTCTCAGGAGAGCGGGCGCAAGTCTGGCCAGACCCTGCCCTCGATGCCGGGCCTGCCCTCGATGCCGGGCCTGCCCTCGATGCCGGGCCTGCCATGCATGCCCAGGCTCCCAAGCCCACAGAGGACACCTGCCGGTGTGCCCACTCCACCCGCAGCCAGCTACGGCTGCTGCCCAGCTTTCCGTAGGAAGGTGGCAGCCTGCGGGCCCAGCTGTGCAGCCTCTGCCCCGCCCCCAGGATGGAACAGCAGCGCGCCCATCTGCTGCACTTAAGAGAGACGGGACCTTAGCTTCCTCTGCACCCAGGCCCAGCCTCGCGGTGGGGGAGGGAGAGCTCTGCAGTGCCCTCTGCCCTCCCTTGGGCCCCTGACCTGTTTCCGTCTCTCCAGGACCTGTAGGGGCTACTCTAGGCACTCAGGAGCACCGCCCCCCACCCCGGAGTACCATGGGCATGGGGGGAGTGGACGGGGTCACCCGGCCGAGCAGCTGCGGGGATGCGGGCGAGGATGGTGCCCTCCAAAAGGGCATCCTCCCACCACCTCCTATCACCAGGGGCACCAGGGGCCTGCGGTGCCCTGAGGGGGGCCGCCCCCCGCAAGGCTGTGGGGCCCCCCGGGCGGGCTCTGCTTGGAGAGGGCGCTATGGAAGGAGGACGGATGCCCACCGCAGGCAGTGCTGGGGTGCAGGCAGACGCAGGGGGGGGCCTCCCGCGTCCCTCGGTGACTTCAAGCCAATCTGGGTGGGGAGGGGGGACAGTGGGGCCGTGGGGCCGGCCCTTCTGGGAGAGGGACCAAGCAGGACATGTGGGCAGAACTGGCGGGGGGCGGAGGGCGAGGATGCTGAGCACTACACACACGTCAACACTAGAGGGGAGATAAGGAGACAGACGAAACATGGCTTACTTTTGAGAGGCGCTTGTGAGACTAAGACGGTGCATGCAAAGAAGGGATTTGGGAAGTGGCAGGAGGAAGAGGAAGAACAAGAAATCAAAAGACAAATTCAGATGGGGCACGGTCTCCCTCACCTCCCTGGGGTCCCCAGCCCCTGCCGGGCCCTGCAGATCTGAAGGCAGAGAGAAGCTTCTAGAAGGAGCATCTGGGCAGTGCTGCCTCATGCTTCCCGGAAGACTGAGGATGGGAGGGTTGCTCTCTGGGGAGCATCACCAGCCCGGGGCTGCCAGGGCCCGCATGCCACCATGCCTGGCCGGGTCGCAGTCCTCGTGGCCCGATGTGTGTGGAGTGGGTGGGGACGATGGCAATGCAGGATGCCGGACAGAGCATTCTGGAAGTTTCTCTGAAAGATTCAAGCCCTAGCACTAGCTCTAGGGGGCAACTTTGCAGAAGGGTTCAGCACCTGGTCCTGGGGCTCCCAGGGCGGAGGGCCAGCTTACAGCCCACGTGTCCTCAGGAGCCAGCACTGAGCTGAGGTCTCTCCTGCCTGCCTGCCCTGCCCGGCCGGGGCCTGAAGGACACCGGCGCCATCCATTCACCGCAGGAGAGCACCCCTTCCCGGGCACCACCAAGCCCCCCGACACCAGCCGACAAGGGTCGGTGGCCCCCGCTCACCTTGGAATTTTTGCCCCCACTCCGGCCGGACTGGGAGGAGCAGCTGCGTTGCACGCCTTGCTCGGGGGTGGACGGGGACTTGTCCGAGGAGTGGTCCGAACCCTTCTCCACCATCGTGTCTCCGTCCTGGTTCTGAGGGGTGGGCGAGCGGGACCGCTTCCGGAGAATGGGGGAGCAGGCCGGCGTGCTGCGGTTGGAGTTACTGGCCGTGCTGCAGGGGAGGAGGGGGAGGGGGAGAAGGGGGAGGGGAGGAGGAGAGGGGGAGGGGGAGGGGGAGGAGGAGGAGAGCAGGCGGTCAGTGATGCAGGCTGGAGGCCTGGGCGCCTAGGGAGACAGGGGCCCAGGGATGGACTGAGTGCCATGTAATTCTGCTATTGGCCAGGAGAGGGCAGTGGTGCCAACATATGAAAACAGAACTAGGACTAGGAAAGGGCTGGTAGGACAATCAGCAATTAAGCTATACATTTATCCATCCGGGTGCCTGGCCATCCAACCACTGCCGGAGCCCCCATTATCCTCTCAGATGCCAAGCGCCGTCCAGTTATGGCCTGAGAGGCTCACTGGAGCTCACACAATGCTATCAGTTCATCGCATATGTGCTCTACTTGGAACATTTGCTCATAATAATGGCAGTCACAATCCTGTTCTTCAGAGCTTTCTCACATACTTCATGACACTGGGCTCTTAAAACAGAACCCTAAGTGCCCAGACCCCTAATTTTAAAAGTGAAGACCGAATCTGGCAGGTAAGGTAAGCGTCTGCTGATCGCAGAGGGCCTGCACACAAAACGTGGGCTTTCTGCTTGGGTTTTCCTGCCCACACCATTCTGTTGAGTTTTCTCACAGACGGCTCCTTCCTGCTTCCCCTGATGGTGAAGGTGAACAAGCACCACCCCTCCCCCACATTCATTTCCAGCAAGTGCCTTAAACATCCCATCTTACCAAACCCAATTACGCCATTATGATCTCCTAGCATAGTGACTACCAGATTCTCACTTGCTTGTGTTTTCAGAGGAGGAGAAGAGATGACAGAGAAAAAGGGAGAGGAAAACCGAATGTGTTGGTTAAACTTCAGTAGATGTTTGCTTTGTTGGACAGAATACAGAAAGAGATTAATAAAGGGAAAGGTTAATTAGTAAGAGTTGGGGGCTGGGCACTGGTGGCTGGGGCCTGTAATCTTACCTACTCAGAAGGCTGAGATCTGAGGACTGAGGTTTGAAGTCAGCCTACCTTACCAGAAAAAAGCCAGGCTAGCCGTGTTGCTCAAGTGGAAGAACACCAGCCTTGAACAAAAAAGTGCCATGGTACTGAGTTCAAGCCACAGTACCAGTGCACATGGGTGTGCATGCATGCACACACGCACCTGCACACACACATACACACACAGTACCACAGTACCAGTGCACATGGGTGTGTATGCATGCACACACACACCTGCACACACACACACACACACACACACACACACACACACAGACACAAAACACGGCAGGGAAAATTGGAAAGAAAGCAAATGTGAAGCTACCAAGCGGACAGCACCAGGTTGTGGTGTTGGGTGTAAAGAGCCAAGTACCCCAGCCACCAACTGAGCAGTCAGAGGGCAGGGGGTGCGGGAGGGGCAGGGGGTGCGGGAGGGGCAGGGGGTATGGGAGGGGCAGGGGGTGCGGGAGGGCAGGGGGTGGGGGTGCGGGAGGGGCAGGGGGTGCGGGAGGGGCAGGGGGTGTGGGAGGGCAGGGGGTGCGGGAGGGCAGGGGGTGCGGGAGGGCAGGGGGTGCGGGAGGGCAGGGGGTGCGGGAGGGGCAGGGGGTGCGGGAGGGCAGGGGGTGCGGGAGGGCAGGGGGTGCGGGAGGGGCAGGGGGTGCGGGAGGGCAGGGGGTGCGGGAGGGCAGGGGGTGCGGGAGGGGCAGGGGGTGCGGGAGGGCAGGGGGTGCGGGAGGGGCAGGGGGTGCGGGAGGGGCAGGGGGTGCGGGAGGGCAGGGGGTGCGGGAGGGACAGGGGGTGCGGGAGGGGCAGGGGGTGCGGGAGGGGCAGGGGGTGCGGGAGGGGCAGGGGGTGCGGGGGGGCAGGGGGTGCGGGAGGGCAGGGGGTGCGGGGAGGGCAGGGGGTGGGGGTGCGGGAGGGGCAGGGGGTGCGGGAGGGGCAGGGGGTGCGGGAGGGGCAGGGGGTGCGGGAGGGGCAGGGGGTGCGGGAGGGGCAGGGGGTGCGGGAGGGCAGGGGGTGCGGGAGGGCAGGGGGTGCGGGAGGGGCAGGGGGTGCGGGAGGGCAGGGGGTGGGGGTGCGGGAGGGGCAGGGGGTGCGGGAGGGGCAGGGGGTGCGGGAGGGCAGGGGGTGCGGGAGGGCAGGGGGTGCGGGAGGGGCAGGGGGTGCGGGAGGGCAGGGGGTGCGGGAGGGCAGGGGGTGCGGGAGGGGCAGGGGGTGCGGGAGGGCAGGGGGTGCGGGAGGGGCAGGGGGGGCAGGGGCTGCGGGAGGGCAGGGGGTGCGGGAGGGCAGGGGGTGCGGGAGGGCAGGGGGTGCGGGAGGGGCAGGGGGTGCGGGGGCGGGAGGGGGTGCGGGAGGGGCAGGGGGTGCGGGAGGGCAGGGGGTGCGGGAGGGGCAGGGGGTGCGGGGGCGGGAGGGGGTGCGGGAGGGGCAGGGGGTGCGGGGGGGCAGGGGGTGCGGGGGGGCAGGGTGTGCGGGAGGGGCAGGGGGTGCGGGAGGGCAGGGGGTGCGGGAGGGCAGGGGGTGCGGGAGGGCAGGGGGTGCGGGAGGGCAGGGGAGGACAGGGGGTTCGGGAGGGCAGGGGGGGCGGGGGTGCGGAAGGGCGGGGGTGCGGGAGGGGCAGGGGGTGCGGGAGGGCAGGGGGGGCGGGGGTGTGGGGGGGGCGGGGGTGCGGGAGGGCAGGGGGTGCGGGGGGGCAGGGGGTGCGGGAGGGGCAGGGGGTGCGGGAGGGCGGGGGGGGGCGGGGGTGCGGGGGTTGCGGGGGTCAGGGGGTGCGGGGGGTGCGGGGGGTGCGGGGGTGCGGGGGGGCAGGGGGTGCGGGGGGGCAGGGGGTGCGGGGGGGGCAGGGGGTGCGGGGGGGCAGGGGGTGCGGGGGGGCAGGGGTTGCGGGGGGGCAGGGGGTGCGGGGGGGCAGGGGGTGCGGGGGGGGGCAGGGGGTGCGGGAGGGGCAGGGGGTGCGGGAGGGCAGGGGGTGCGGGAGGGCAGGGGGTGCGGGAGGGCAGGGGGTGCGGGGGGGCAGGGGTTGCGGGGGGGCAGGGGTTGCGGGGGTGCGGGGGGCGGGGGGGCGGGGGTGCGGGGGGGCAGGGGGTGCGGGAGGGCAGGGGGTGCGGGAGGGCAGGGGGTGCGGGAGGGCAGGGGGTGCGGGAGGGTAGGGGGTGCGGGAGGGGCAGGGGGTCGGGGGCGGGAGGGGCAGGGGGTGCGGGGGCCGCACTCTCAGGACACCACATCCAGCTTTCCTTCAGGGAGTGGTGGCTGTGGGGAAGCCCCAGAAGCCCAGTCCTGCAACATCCCAGCGGACACACCGGAGATAAAAACCAAGCCTTTCAGCAGCACCTCCGCCCAGGCAGAGCAGGAAGCACCGAGGGGGTGGGGAAGGAAACCAATGGGGGGGGGGGGGAGACCACCACGGCCAAAGGACGCACAAGGAAAGCAAAAACACAGCGTGCATTTAACATCTCAACGCCAGCGGTCCCTGCTCCGGGAACGCCCACCAGGGCCTGCCCCTGCCCCCCTTGTCCTGGGACTACAGCACTGGAGACCTCGGGGAAGAAAGTTTCACTGCTCTGCCTCAGCGGAAGAAGCCTCACCACGGGGCCAAGTTTGCAGACCGGCTGGGTGCCCACAGCGTGTGGTCTGGGGGTCCTGAGAGAGAGTCAGGTCAGCCAATTTCAACCACAGCCAAATAGGTTTAAAGTGCCTCCCAGGATTCCATTCCCAGAACAGCGGGGGAAGTCTCTCCCTACCCACAACAACCAAACCAAACAACAAGCCAAGCAGGCGTCTGTGTCACACACTGATCTGGGAGTCGGGCGGTGGTGGCTCACGCCTGTAATCCCAGCTACTCAGGAGGCTGAGATCTAAGCCTGGGCAGAGAAATCTGGGGAACTCTTCTCTCCAATTAACCAGCATAAAGTTGGGAGTGGAGGTATGGCTCAAGTGGTAGAGAGCCAGACCTGAGTGAAAAGCTGAACTTCCAGGCCCGAAGTTCAAACTCCAGTACCAGCACAATGCACGCACACATCCATGTGTACACCCTGCACCACACGTGCACACATGCATGCACACACACACACACACCACAGTCATCCCTTCATCCCACAGATCTGCACATACTGCTAAGCAATAAAACCAGCAGATCCCATATGAAAAAAACATATTTCTCATAGTGTTGAGCCTTTCAAACTCTCTGCCATTAATCATGCCAGCATGATTAATAATAAGATTGCATTATATTTTAAAATCTTTAGATTTTAAAGCAAAAAAAAAAGACCTTAAATGGGGCTGGGAAGGTGGCTCAGTGGTAGCGTGCTAGCCTTGCACACAAAGAGGCCCAGGGACAGTGCCCAGGCCTGGAGTTCAAGCCTCACAACTGACCCAAAAATAAATAAAGAAATAAAACCCACAAAATCCCCCAAACCCTAAGCAATAGGGGGTGTAAGCTCCTGACGAGGGATGTGGCTTGCAGACCTGTCTTTCCGGCTTTGGCAGTGTTCACTGACCACCTCCACTACACCAGTGCTGGACGTTCAAGATGCCAAAGAAAGGGCCCTGGCTTGGGGCATTTTCAGCACAGATAAGCTGAACACATATCTTTTTGTCTGAATATAAACTACAAATGAGGTGATCAAGGGTGGGGGATGGGGAGACTGGCTTTCTTACAGAAATGGCCCTGGAGCTTGGTGCAGTAGACATGTTAGCCAGGTAGAGGTCAGAGAAGGAGAGAAGAGAATGTTCTAGAAAGAAAGGAGATGGAGGCATAGAATGGCATGGACTGCACAGAGCATTACAAGAAGCGCACAGCCTGCTCGCGCTCAGGCTCCAGCCCCACAGACACCCTCAGCCCACGGCCTGTGTCCCAGATGCTGTTCATCCATTTCCTGCTTTGAAGATCTCCAACAAAGCCTGTCTCAGTCTCCGGGTTTTCTCACTAACAAACAGTGCTTGCCTAAGTCTGACCACACTATCTCCTGCTGTCGAGTGCCTGACCCCACGTCCTATCCTCAGATCTGGCTGA